AATAATAGAAGAATCCTAAACTTATATCTATTGACATATTTTGCGTGAATAAGTTGGAAGATGTAGGGTAATTTACCAAAACCAAATTGTTAAGTGTATCTTTGTTATTATAGATATGATTTTTCATAAGATATGTATAATAATGATAAGATTATTAGAGAGTTAATGTAACATAACTTTCTAGTAATAGTCCATTTTTAAAAAAATCACACATGAAGTCAAGTCATGACTTCTGTTTTAATATATAAGATATATCGAAGTCCACTAAGACTTCTTCAAATTATATTAACACAATACCGCAATGCTTCAGCCTTTATGTACGACATACATGAAAAATATAATAAGTCAAAATATCAATTTTCAGGAAAATGGCAAGACTAATAACTTCCGATGCAACATAATTAGCCATTATGGACCATTTTATTAGGATGTGGTAGTTTATAAAAATAATAATCATAACCCTTTTTCAAATCTAGGTAACGGCCCAAGGCTTTAATTATTGTTATATAGCCGAGCATACAAAAGCCTGGAAACTTATATAAAGTTGTATATATCAATTCCTATTACATGTGTCAGTGATTCGATCGACTATAAAACTATGTTCTAATTAAGTCTCCATAATTTAGCAAAAGAATGATTTTAATTCCGGGTGGGAGAGGTCGTGCCCAACAGAGCATGGTGAACGCCAGGCTCATTATTAAATTGGATTAATAAAAATACTTGACGCTCAAGAAAATACCTTAATTACAACATGAGTTTGGAGATCACGAATCTCCCGGTGTCATCGTAACCTTGGTGGCCTCCACTCTGTGGCGCTTTTCTGAAGCCCATGTCCAACTCTGTCCATAGTATGATATTGTCCGCTTTGGACCCAAGAGGCAAAGCCCGCACGGATTTGTTTTTGGGTTCCTTCCCAAAAGGCCTCATACTAATCAGAGTTGGACACTACTTATATATTAGACACTTTCTGTCTAAACTTCCGATGTGGGACTTGGATTGTATCCCAACAACTCAAATATGTTTCACTTTCATTTGTTGCTGGAAGCTGAAGCCGCGTTAAAAACGACTTCTTTTCCAAGTGTATATAATGTAATGAAACCTTAAAAGTTTATAGTGATCACTATGTAGCTTTTAATGACTGTCAAAATTATAATAAAAACTATAACGTTTACTTTATTATCAGTACGCGCTTTGTCAACTAAGTAGTGCGTAGAAAGGAGTATTATCTAAATAAACATGTTCATATAATAGTTGTATACATCAAAAACTATTTTGAATGATTCGCTTTGCTGCATGTTTCATGGCAACCGTACGAAGGTGACTCTCCACTTGTTACCCCAACTTTTGCGGGGGTTTCCAGCATAGCATTCTCTATTTGTTTTTGTAATACATTTTTGGTTATCATTATACATATTACAATCAGTAATAACATATAGACAAACTTTTGACTACTAAATTTGTTGGCATACGTTTGTCAATATGAAAATTGCTTTACGGATAAAATTTGAAACTATATATAAGCGTTTACGCATAAGACCAACATTTCTTGCTTGTTAACCAAGACTGTCGACGAGAATGACTTGAATAATAGTAGTACTCACGAGTTGCGACCACGTAGCTTCTGCTCCAAGACATACATTAACTTGGGAAAACTCACATGTTGTTGTTATCGTTAACTTTGTTTATGATTAATAAACTACTCAAGCGGTGACCTGCTCTAGTCTTTAATTGTTCATTAAAGTTCGAGCTCATTAACTCTTAGTTTAAAGCTTTGCACCAAAACCAACGTATAACTAATGGTGATAAAGCTTTCAACGTTCTACTATTTGAAGTGCGGCTCTCCTTTTTATCGATCTTCGTCCTAAATTTTATTTGAACCAAGTCTCTTTCATTTCTATTTGTATTCTTCGTTCGACTCCATATGCACATATTTATATTAGCTCCAAACGTAGTCTGTAGCGTATCCTTTTTACTAGCTAGTCCATGTCACCGATTAATGGTGAACATCATGTTTTTATTGTTAATTGAAAGTAACAAGACTAACTAACTAGTCATCACTATTGGCATACATATATCCTCCCACCTAAACAAGTGGAACTAATGGAGAAAGACCATCATTCAATGTTTTGATGACAAGAAAATTTTCGTCGTCGCGGCAATGACATATATAGAGTTTTAACATACGAAAGGTATTAGCAAACAGCGACAATAGACAGTGAAATTTTGCAACAGAACGTATAGTTGTGTGGTAACTTACGTTGTTTTGTGAGATTGACTTCAAAATGGTAAAAACATGATCATTCGGAATAAAAAAAAATATATTCAGTTTATCTAAATTTCAAACTCACTTATTTGTCGTATTTATATAAGTAACACATAATTAAGTACCTATAAAACAATTAATCATATAGCTATAGTGTATATATATAGAGAGTAGACGGATATAATATATATACTTAAATTGGTCAGTACTTGGCTCAATGGAGGACAGTGGCCAAGAACACTGCACTAAACCTCGGGGTTTGTCTTTGTCAATCCAAACGATTCTCCATGTCTCTCTTCCCACTTTTGATATTTCAGAATCGAATCGACCTCCATTTCTCTCACGTGCCCTTTTTATGATCTTTCTAACAAACTAATTTCAAAAATTACGAGGGACACATTAACATGATAAGAGCACCCCATTGAGAGTTCAAATGGGGGGTTCACACGGAAACCAAAAAAATAAAATAATAAAATAATAAAAATCTATGAACCCCTCTCTCCTAAAATTCACCCGGATGAACTCCTCTCTCCTAAGGTTCAACACGTGTCGGCCCGGGATTGGTCTAGATCTTTTTTTTTTCTTTTTTTTTTAAAAAAAAAAATTCAAAAAGAAAACAGAAATTTTTTAATAATATAAAATTGATTCAATGAACCCCAAGAAGGGGTTCATTGATGTGGATGCTCTAACGCCTATACACACGTTCGAGCCAGTTCTTAACTAATCAGAACTCTGATTTTTTTTTGAACAAATATTATTGGAAATATTAGAACGATAAAATGAAAGACAAGTCTTTATTTGAATATTTGATTACAAAAGACGTAATGGAAAAATTATTGGCCTAACAATTTAAGTCTTATATATATATATTTTTTTTTTGTAGGTTCATATAATTTATAGCCATTTCTGTCAATATATAATTTTATAAACGTATCACAATAAATGTTAGTGTTTTTAAAAAATGCGTTAAAAGCTGAGAATAAACAAACTCAAATACGAAAATTAATTGACTGGCGGGAGCGAATGTAATTAAAATAAATAGTCTTCTTAAAAACTGGAGATAATTGGCGCCAAGTCTTAGGTTGCCAGCCACGTTACTCTCCAGTCCTCACTGTAAATGACAAGATTTTACAAAATAATTTGTTGCCGTTTTTGCTTAAAATACACTGACAAGAGAGGAAACAAAATCATATAAGAAGAGAAACAAAATCATTTATACACAAGGTCAGAAGATTGGTTTCTCTTCACCGTGGACGAAGTTAAACATCTTAAACATATACTTTAGGAAAAGAGATAGAAAAATACTAACATTTTACACAAATAGAATCTTTACTGTTGTGTTGAATAAGTACTTAGGAAGACACAGCACGTGACAGGTTGTTCATATGAAATGAATGCATGGACGAAACCGCTAAAGAAAGTCACTGCAAAATGTCGGTCAAAGGGGATTTCCAGTGTAGTCATTATAATTCAGAAGTATATCTTGTAAATTTTAGTAACATACCCACTCCTTTTTATTTCAATACAACTGTATAGTTTTACCATTTGCACCAAATTGAAAATGAGTTAAAATACTATTACATCTCTGAAAACCCACATGTCATTTTATTTTAAAATATTAAACTATGCCTCTGCGACAAAAAAACACATTAAAATAATTTCAAATAATATTAAACTATGTCTCTGCGACAAAAAAAAAACACAGTAAAATAATTTGAAACTTAGATTTTCTTATAACTTGATATGCTATAAATATACTTATAAAATAATTAAATAATAAATATTTTCTTACATGCTCTACCTCAGCCTAAATGTAAAGTCATTTGAAAGTTTGAGGAAAATATCTCAAATAGACATGTGTCATCCTGCTATTTGCTAACATGGATGCGGCTTCCAGTACCACTAGAAACGAAATTGAAAACATAGAGAAGGAAATAAATGAGTAAAAACTTATAATTTTAAAAAATTATTTATTTCTATATAACCCGGAAAAGATCCTATAAAACAGAGTGAATTCTGAATGTTTCACTTTAAACTTACTGACTTCTTTCTCTGCATTCTCTCTCTCTCTATACATCTTTTTCATTCTCTAAATTCTTCAAACTTTTTCACAACCAAACCCAGAATCTCTGTTTTTTTTTTTGAATCTTTATAAGCCAGAAAATATTAATAAGGTGGAAGTGATGATGCTGGATGAATATATAGATTATAGACCAGTAAAGTACACGGAGCACAAGACAGTGATCAAGAAGTACACTAAAAAGTTGTCAGTGGAGAACAAGAAGAAGATCAGTTCTGGTCGTGACTCTGCGGCTAAGTTGGTTCGTGTGTGCGTGATGGATCATGACGCCACTGATTCATCAAGCGACGAGGAGGAGTTTTTGTTCCCTAGAAGACGAGTCAAAAGATTGATCAACGAGATCAGAGTCGAACCTAAGCCCTCCAGCGAAGTCTCCGCGGCTTCGAACAAGAACGCTAAAAGTCTGGCCGTTGAACCGCCGCTTAAAAAGGTATCTGTCTCCGGTGACGATCAAAACCAGAGGAAGTTCCGCGGCGTGAGACGGCGGCCGTGGGGAAAGTACGCGGCTGAGATTCGTGATCCGGAGCAACGCAGGAGGATTTGGCTCGGTACTTTCTCTACAGCTGAGGAAGCTGCAATGGTCTACGACAACGCAGCAATAAGGCTACGTGGCCCTGACGCTCTCACCAACTTTGGCGTACCACCAGAACCAAAACCGGAACCAGAAACCGAGAGCAACGTATCGGTTTCTTCAACAACAGAGTCAATGGACTACTCTGATCATCATCTATCATCTCCAACATCGGTTCTCAACTACCAAATATCCGAACCAATCGATGAACCAGCCAAACCGGTTAAACAAGAGTTTATTGAACCCGTAAACTGGCATTTAGGAGAAGGTAATGGTAATGATATTGATGATTCATTTCCATTGGATATTCCATTTCTGGACGACTATTTCAATGAATCATTGCCGGATATCTCCATTTTTGATCAATCCATGTCTGATATTCAATCGCCGGAGAATGATTTCTTCAATGATCTTATGTTGTTCGATCACAACAATATGGGAGGAGAAAACTACCCTTCCGATATCGAAGATATTGGTTCAATGTTTAACAATGTTGATGATTTTTTTATATCTGATTTTTTAGTTGTATGATAACTTCATACATAAAGAGAGACAAACATCGGTTTCAAACATAGCCGGTGGGAGTCAAAATTTTGTCTTAAATTCTTGAGTTTTGATCAGTTTTTCATTTTAATAATTTTGTTGAGAAGTAATTTAAGTGTGTATCCGGGGTTGTAAAACATTTTTGTGAGAAATATTGGGAATGATAAATTATTAAATTTTGTCAATGTGTCTGAACTGTAAGAACGTGTTTAATTTTGTTATTTTGTTTCATATGAAAAAAAAAATCTCTGTATAAGAAACAAAACGGAAGTTCTCTTTGGCGAGAGATGCCAACACTAGGAAGCGCAAATCACGGCCATAACCGGTGTGGCTTTGGGTCAGGTTTCACTCTCAGTCGGTGCTCCTTTTGCCTTTTCTACAAAGTGGAGACTTTGTTGTGTTCCGGCCAGGCCGTAAAGGAAACAAATCAATATGAAAACAATATTGGAAACTATAATAAACTTTGACAATATATATGTTTACTATATATGATTTTTATATTTAAAAAGAGTCAGCATTGACTCTAAAAATCAGTTGGATTTTGAATAAATCCATCACTTTCTCGTTTCAACCTTGTGTAACTACTAAAGGTTTTCATCAATTTGATATTTTCGATATTTTAAAACCCATAATAAGAATAACAATTCGTTAGAAATCATAAGGAAGTCTGCCCATACACTTTTATCTTCTTAAAAAAACTACCTCATGATTTAAAGTTTGTTGTTTATAACCAGTCGTATATTGGAAGCGTTTTGTCCGCAAAATCAATAAAATTGGTGGCAAAGTTCGATTGTGTGAGAAGATTCATGTTTACATATACAAATAATTCATGTCCTCTGGATATTAAATTAAGTTTCTATTTTGTTCACGTACATTTCTAAGAAGAACTATAATAAATACCGAACATAAGTTGGGAGAAGCTCTTTTAAAAAAAAATAATAATAATAAGTTGGGAGAAGCAAAAAGACAAATAATTATGTCCCAAACATATAATATAATTACATTTAAAATGTAACGATATGAATGAGTGTGAAACGTCGCACTAGTGTAAGAAATATTATCTCAAGCGCCTATCCACATGCTGATTTGCAGATTTACATACCATTACCATTATTATGTTTTAACTCATGCTATATACATTTGTAGTCCATCATATGATGAGTGAAAATTATAAATATATCTAAATGTGAAAATTCAAAGAGAACCTAATTAGACTGTTTTTCGAATATAATACAGGAATTAATTTCCACAAAGGAGGATGTGTTTCAAAGTAGGAAACATAATTTTAGCTCTGTTGGACGTGGAGGAGCCTCTGGGCCGAGAAAGTGATTGAAGTAAGCAGTCTAGTGCTTGAACCACACCGGCTTAGAGGTTATAATACTATATTTAGACTTTCAGAGCTTGGTCTCGGTGATCTCGGTGATGCAACCATATTTTCAACCGCTGAAGAAATCTCAACATAGATATAGTATGTTGGAAAAAATACTCCACACTGAAAATATGAAATATATTTGTAATATGTGAATCAATCCCCTATATGCATTAATATAAATCTGTGTTTCAAAAAAAAAAAAATTTAAGTAATATGTAAGTGATTTGGATCAATCAACTTACAACTATATATATAAACATAGTGGTGACCATGTTGGGAGATTGCAGTTGGTATCGATTGACCAGTAAATGCAAACTCAAACGCAAATATTTGCGCCTGAGCAACCACAAATGAATAGTTATCACTTACTAATATTTTGAGTGAAAACATATAGATACAAGTCTTACTCACAAAGAAATAAATTATTTAAAAACGCAACACCAATCCTTTTCTTTTGAAGAATATGTGATTATCCGACGGCCGGTATGATCAATGACTCAGAACCACTTTGAAAAAATAACATTTGCAAAACATGCAGGTTGACTAGACCCATGTTTCTTTTCATGCTCGATGCGCAACGCTGTAGCGACCTGAAAATTTATCTCACTGCGTTAAACACATCATAGAAGAGCTAATTTGTTTTTTTTTTCCGGTTCGGCAATGAATAACCAGTAAATCTGATGTAAAATATATCAGCCACAGAAGTAATCAAGTAAGTTACTATTAATTTTGATGTTTTCGACAATCGTCAGCGACTGTTTTCACTATCACCACCTATAAATTCACTTCCTCGTGTTCTATTTTTTATGGCTAGTTACAGTGGTCTCGTCACGGCTGAGCAGAGCCTACGCCACTTTCGTGGTTCGTTCTTGTTGATTAAGTTAATTTATCAAAACTTTTTAAAAGGGACAAAGATTTATTTGAGGAGTCGCAAAAATTGACTAGGTGTTCCTCTTACTATTAAAAAAGTAATCGTCATTTATAAGGGGCCGCATAAAAGGTTTAATCTTCTAAAGCTTATATTTGTTTAACTAACAAATTCATTATTAAACACAATAACTGTCGTAAATCTAAAGAAAATATAATTCGGATACTTGTTCAGAGTACTCTGTATTAATGGTTGAAAATCCGTATCGTACCGTCTGTGGTTTGAAGCTTTTTATATAGCATTCAAATTCAAACTCAAATTCAGAATGTCATGACTAATCACATAAAGTTTTTTTTTTCTGAGAAAGGGATTTAATCAACATAAGATGTGGCTGACATGCGTTAATATTTTGTTTTTCTTTCTAAAAAGTCAGCTATACGTTCTTTTTTCTTTTGAAACAAGTCAGCTACGTTCTAATTTATTTATTATGCATCTATCAAAATAGCTAGCGGAAGTCGTCTAGTATTTGTTTTCTTTTGTCAACGCTTTTTTTCTTAACGTTTGCCGGATGGTAGTTAATACCAGGGCGTCATCTGGATTTTGGAGGCTACAGACAATGAAGTTAAACTTCTGCTTTTACCATATAATTATTTAAAATACAATTTCAAAGCACATGTCTTAATTTTAAACAAAGCTTTACATAATATTATATAGTACTCTACATTTTATAAACAAAATATCTTATATTTATAGAACATCTAATCGAAATACATAATTGGAAGTTCTATTTTGTTTTAAATGGTGGTTTTGAATAGTTGTAGATGTAGTTATATATTTTCCCTTTTATTTGAGTTTTCTATATCATGTTGATAGACATGTGGGCAACTTCACCAAAGTGAATATAAATTTATAATAAAACGTGTAAAACTGATTAAAACATAAAAAAAAAGCATATCTAGCATCGAACTTCTCTTATGCATGGTGAAAGTGAAAGGTAACCCTTTCAGCCAATGGGGTTTCTCATTGTTATACAATGGCGGACGACTAATGTTTTTGTGCTTTAATAAAAGGGACAGGCATGATTAACAGTATAAACCTTATAAATCGCGAACAAAAGAAAAGTATAACAAGACAATTATAAAATACAATGTCGACATGACATCGTCAAAGAATTTTTACGTGGACAAAACACATTTTTCGACAAAGAATGCTTTTATTTCAGCACTGGTTTTGGACAACTTCAAATGGAGATTTATCACGTGGTTGCATTACAATGAGGAAATCAGAATACCACCTTTCTAACTGAGGTTTTCATTTAGAATGCAGAGCGAGATTACAGCACGGTAAATATATTGACATAAGAACATCATAAAAGAAGAACTGATAATGAAAGAAGAACATTAAAAGATCAATCTTAGCTAGCATTTTACCAAAAAATAAATAAATGAAAAGATCATAAGAATTGCAATTTTTCAATTTTCTTTTGCCATGTTGTTCAAATTGTGCATAAGCATTGGTTTGTAATTCAAAGAGATTTTCATAAAGAAAACAACAGAAACAAATAAACTAATTGATTTTTGAGAAATTCATTCTATACTCGTATTTTCAATTATCTGCGGGCCCAAATGCAAAAAAAAATATGTTGTGAAAACACAATAGATTCTCTTATCAATTTCAATGGCTTAACAAGCTATATATTTTTTTTTTGTGAAAGTATAATCTAATGCAAAAAAAAATATGTTGTGAAAACACAATAGATTCTCTTATCAATTTCAATGGCTTAACAAGCTATATATTTTTTTTTTGTGAAAGTATAATCTACTGGTTATTTAAAAGCTTCTATACTTACGTTTTGGGTTTAAATCCTAGATTCTGCAATTTTTTGTAGATTAAAAGAAAGTTCTGTTTTCAAATTCCGAAAGGAACAATTTATTAATGCAGACTATAGTAAAAAAGTTTATAAGGAATTTTTAACATTGTGTAAGTAAATTTGGTTAGGAGTAGATTTTCATAAGACGACTCAGATGATTCAGTTAGACGTAGATCGTAATAAAAGACATGTAATATTATCGGTTATTAGATCGTCTATGTAATTTTTTTCATAATTATAATATCATAATAAATCAATATTATAAAAATTTAATCTGCATTTAAAAGAAAAAAAAATCCAAAATGTTTACATGCAGGTTGACTTTATTTTATATATATTTTACGATGTAGACCGAGACATGTATTCCCCCTCCCCCCTTCATGGCGTCGCTTAGATTTTTTTTTTTTTTTTTCTTTGTAAAGTCTTAGGATGTACATTGAGACTATTGGTAAAACGTATTGAGTTCCCTTAAACCTTTAGATCTATAGGTTTTTTTTTGCCAACTATAACGGTAACATTTTTGTGATTTTTTTACCTGATATATCGAAAGTTTGATACACCAAATGCATAGAGCCGTGAAGAAGTTATTTGCCATTTGATTTTGTCTTAAAAAAACGAATTTTGGGTTTTCTTGTTGTTTGATTTAACATATACTGCTTATTGGATATACAATATTATACATAGATTTTTGACTTTTACATAAAAGTTTAAGTAGTCATACGAAAAGCTCGAAAGTGTAGGTAGTGTCGTATACAATGTTGAAAGCTGGTGTGCATGTAGAGACCATTTATCTAGTCACTGCAACGAACTTTTTTTTTTGTATTGAATTGAACATGTGAATAAACAAAATACTAATACCGAAACAGTGAAACAATTTAAAGAAAAAAACTGTAAGGTATAAACAGATATGAAACAGTTTGTACGTAGAGAAATCAAATCAGTGTACGAGAATACGAGTACATGGGTACTGACTCCATCTCCTCTCTCTTTCTTGTGGCAGATGTTAGCACAACCAAATTAAGGATATTTATTTATTTACCGCAAGTATCTAAATTCTGGCCGCAGTACATTGGTAACCCTGTGACAACCAAAGTATTTACCGCAGTACATTGTTTCTCAAGCTACTCTGTTCTCTATTTAATCACACTTATTTTACTCTCCGCTGAAACGTTTGGAGACTAATTAAACTTCTTTTTCAACATATATAGTTCAACGCATTTGCCCAATAAAACACACGTCAACTAGGATTTACTATCTATTTTTTTTCTTGAGCTTTGTACTTACACATTGTTTATCTCCACAAATTTGTTTTTTTTTTCTCCAGTATTTGGGAAAGTGAAAGTTACATGATCACAATAATTTACTTTCGTAGAAAACGTGTATAAACAGAACAAGCAATGATTAATATCCATTTGTATAGAAAATATATAATTCACGAAATAGTACTAAAATTATAACTTTTATGTGTTTGATATTCTGTCACTTGTCTTTATTTCATACATATTTAAACAGCTCTCATAATCCTACCCAGCATATCCTTCATTTAAACAACACCATTTTCCATGTAAATTTCAGCTAGCTTTTGTTCTTCTTCGTATTAGTAAATGTAAATTGTCTATATGTATAACGCTGATTTTATCAGTGACTAGTCTTTGGAAGTTGGAACAATCACTCTTCGAATTTTCTGAGCAAATCCATTCTGTTAGCTCTTCTGGTTTTGTAAACAAATGATTCTTTATTAAACAGAAAATGAACCGATCTTAGGTTTTCGTTTGACTATTAATCTAATTTTTACTGCGTTTCCCGTATTTGTTTTTCAGAAACTTCTTGAGTGTTCACACTATAGAGGAGCCAACTTGAGTATGGTTTGTTTATTTGCGCCATATTTTCAACGTTTGCTGCACTATTTGATTTACGTTAAGTCGTTAACCTGACTGAACAGTGAACACACTCTCAAGCCTCGATCTATAACGTTGACCGTGTATTAACCGTAGACCATACAGCCATAACCGCATCAAATACTCCAATTGCATAAGTAAGTTAATTTTCGAAAAGTTTGTCGAGACATGTGTACATATATATAACACCATTAATTACCTGGATTTGAGGTCCCCAAGCTGCCTTACCATCACGACAGAAGCAAATTGGACCGCAGGTATAACCAACAAGAAATAAATTCAAAGAAACACCATGCTTCTTCCAAATTTAATAAGAAGATTCCTATATTAAAGCTACTTTCTGATTTTATCAAGATTTTGTGTGGCTAACATTAAATAGTATGTCTTCCTAGATTAGAAACCTCACCAACAAAGCCCACTCTCTCTTTATCTCAAGACACAAAATATAGTAAAAGAGTCTGGCATCTCTCTTTCTCTGCTTTCTCTCAATTCAAGTTTTCTCATACTTTCCTCTTCCACCTCCATTGATGGATTCAATGTATCGACCGCAGCGTCACAACTCTGAAGGTCCATCTCATGTTTTGTATTTGATTAACTTATATCTGCATGCTCTTTCTTCGTAACCATATTTTATCTCCTTTCGACATATTTATCGTGTTTAGCTGAAGTATATTATATCTTATAAACCAAAAAAAACAAGACTTCGCAGCCTTTATTAAACAGCCAAAATGTATTTACGTGAATGTGCATGAAAAATGTATTTACGACCAGATCATTAGATAACAATCCAAATCCAGCTAGATGGCCACAAAATCAAGAAGGGCATGAGATCATTCATCTACGTAGCGATTCATAAAAGAGAATATAAAAATATTTGAGCAAAAAGCAAAAAAAATGTGTATTTTTGTAATAAATGCAGAAGTGTGTAGCGTGAAGTGGGAATTCATCAAAATGAGCCAACAAGAGGAAGATCTCATCTTAAGAATGTACAAACTCGTAGGCGACAGGTATCTTCTTTGCTTTCTCTTCCATGTAACGGCTTTACACACAAAACATGTGCATAGGACCATTTGGTTTACTGGGCAAAGCCACTGTAAAACCTTTTATTTCTCTTGCTTTCAACAGAATATCTTTTTACAAGAAAAACAAAAAACATGTGCATATGAATTTATTTATATTCTTACGCTTACGATCGCATAGGGATGAACAAAAATGTTCTTGTTGTGCTCAGAGTAACCTTTTGTATCACCTTCGCTTTCTGGTCTAAGTCTCCTTGCTCTCTCGGATATTTCAGTTACTGCTTAGATGTTCTTGTTCTAATTAGCTATAGTTTCATTAGGAACTACCAGACCTAAGTTTTAGTGTCTTAACTTTAAAACTTTTGTAACTCTTAGGGACTTCTTTGCTTAATAAGCCGAATGGGATCCACGCTAATCACTTGTATCAAACATTTCATTATTTTTTTTTGAAAATGTTTTCTCTTGTAAAATACCAGGTGGGAAATAATAGCAGGCAGAGTACCGGGAAGAAAGGCTGTGGAGATAGAGAGATATTGGATCATGAGAAACAACCCATATTTCTTGCCTCCTCCATCTTGCAAATCTTAACCTTCTTCTCGTGTTGTGCCTCCCATGTTTGTTTTTAGTAGTACTTTATTTCTCATTTCCAAAAACTAAAAACTAGATGAGAAAATAATTGTGTGAGCCAATGCGTACTTGTAGCTTTACCTAATCTCATCAATCCACTAGTTTTGTTGTTGTGTAAGGTTTACTAATTTTTCTTCTAAAAAGTACAAACAAGATTATGAAACATATAGCGTGAGAGCTAGCTTATGATGGTGGTAGCTTTGCTCTCACTTATCTCATCCATTGAACATTTAAGCCAACCGAATTCGACGCAGGATAGAACCAAGAACACCGGATTAATCCGCCGGTAATTTAACTGAACAAAATTCCGGCTCAACAAAAGAGTAAACAGGGGTTGGTGGAGGACTGAGCCTGTTTAATTTATTGATATGTTGTTACAAAAGTTGCTATAAACCTAAAGCCGTATCCACATTCACGTGTAAGATGTCTAGTGACCGTGTTGGGTCATGATGAAGTGTATTGGCGATGCAGAACATACTTGACCACTTCGTAGAAAGAAACAACTATCCCTACAGATGGTCCTGCACGAGCCACCCTTGGACCCATTCCCGTGAACAGTCCTCTCATCCCTCCATCCCTGTGGTGTACTTTTATATTGTTAGGTGTCTTGTTTCAATGCACACACAGAGCTATTAGCAAATAAATGCAACCTTTCATACATACCTCCAAACCTCTATTAGTGTCTGTCGTGTGGTCATTCTCATTGCCCTACTAGGGTCCTTCTGCATTTATGAAAATGTTGAGACATAATAAGTATATGGTAGTATTATAAACAAATAGACAAAACTCTCTAGAAAAAAGAGGTTGCAAAATCAAAACAAACCTCTATCTGTCTTCTTGTTTTTGCTACGTCAAAAGGACAAGTAGTGGCAGCAGCTATACTTCCAGCTACAAAACCAGCTGAAAAGTTAGCACCGAGAATACCAAGAGCGTTTGTATCATTTCCCACAATTCCAAGAAGCCTCCTTCTCATCTGCAACAAGAGAGTAGATCAAACCAATTCAGTTTTATACAAACATCTCACTGCATTGTAAAATGTTTAAACGTGTCAAAGAGCTTACTGGCTCGAGAGTCGCCCAGCAGATTGCTGAGAATGGAACATCACGGGCAAGTTGTGCACCCAAGCCTCTCCATAGAACACGATAATTGTGCACTGTCACAAGGAACGAGAATAATAAAGACTCAATAAAATAATCATGTCTTTGGTGTGAACCTCCACATGCATGCATCTCAGTGTAGTTATGACTGTCAATGAATAGATATACTTAAGAGAGCGCAAACTTATACAATGAGTTGAAAACTGGACAACATGTGTTCAAGAATGTCAAATTATTACCAATTCAGTGGCTTGAGAAGAAGAAAGAAGCAACTTACAACTATTTTGAAGGTTATTTGTTGTCCTGACTTCAGAGACTACACCAACCAGTGTTTTAAGAACACCTGGAGGCTTCATACCTGCTTTAGCTTCTTTGAATGCCTAGTTTGAAAATAAAATGAAAAGCAAGTCACAAAAAGGTACTCCCAAAGATCACTGCAGGGTATGTTGGAGTTACAGAAACATACCTGCATACGTGTTCTAGCAAGTTCAATTGGATAGCACACAGTACAAGCTAGGGACCGCGCCAATGCTCCTGCAACAAGAGGCACAAACATCGTCGTAGAAGGTGCATTCTCCCGAGAGAATTCTTCCATCCGGTTGCGAAACATATCATAGAATGGCAGATAAATCCCAACCTGTCAGGAAACTTGAGAGATTCACTGATCTATACTCTCATCCAAACAAACAAAACCCCCAAAATGTAAGAGGAGAACATACCATGGGCACAGCTATGGCTAGACCAGCATTAGTCCCTCTCCACAGGCGTGCCATGCCCTCCTGTATCAGTTCTTGTGTTACGGAATAGAGAAACACGAATAAGAAGCTAAATTATCATTTACAGTGCACGACAAAGTCACCTGTCGTATGATCTTGGTGAAGACATCAAGTGTTCCTTTGTACTGGAAACAATCTGGCGGGCAAATAGAGACAGTACCATGAACACCAGCGCGTGAACATGAAGGCGAACATCTCAAGTCTGTAAACATCTGAACCCATACAGAAACAATCACATGACTCATCAGAACATAACTAGGTGGTCTTTTAAACAACTTTCCCACAAATATAAAAAAAAAAAAATTCAGACACAAACCATGTTCGGTCCAAAGAACGCCATGCGTCCAATGGCGTCACTGAGTGGGTGAGAGTAAGAAACTCCAGCAGCTTGAGCTTGCAATCGAGTCTAACAAACATATCACAAAACAGAGACATAAGTCCCCTTAAAGCATATAACTTTCCAGCAGTTTAGTTAATAACATCAAATAAAGAACCAACCTTTACAACGTCAAGAGGATTTAGAATAACAGCAGACAAAAACGCAGCTCCGGCGGCGGAGAAAACCCTCTCCGTCATCCCTAGCTTTTCCTCCGTCGAGCCCTTCTCCAACTCAGGCCGGGAAGCTATCTGCACTCCAACGCTTCCAAATCCTCTAACATCTTCTGTTCCACTATTCGAATCCACGATCGAAAAATCACGTCTTTGAGTTTCCGCCGGAGACGACGATGACGGCATTCCGGAAGCGATCCAGAGATTCTCCGGACGCTCTGCCTCAACCATTTGGCTTCTTATGAATCTATGGGAAAGCCCAGAAAGAGATTCCGTTCGATCAATCAATGGGAATTTTTTTTTGTTTTGCAGAGAAAAAAGAAGCGAGAAAAAAGGTTTGGTTTTTCCAGATTACTTGGAGAGGAGGAGAGAGGAACACCGAAGACTTCAGTGGGTAGCCACACAGCCAAACCCTAGTGCTTAACGCGCGCGTTTTGGAAGGTTCTACAGACTACTTAACCGTGAAATCAAACCGTACAAACCGATCTGTCGATTTCTAATCCAATTGGTTACCAACAACATTCACAAAGATGTCAATAGAAAATAATATCCCATCGATTGAAAAATCTGTGGGATTTCTAATGTGGTGTGTTTGTAGAGATGTAGCAAGTTAGTGGAAGATGCAGGCGAAACCGAACCGGTCTTAGGCTAGTACGATGAGTCTAACGAAGGTGGGCCATTGAATTATAGGATTGACTTGGGCTCCACAACATATAACACTTCTGCTATTACAAAAGTTGTAAATATTTGTGGTGTAGAGGCATGAAGAGTGGCAAACTCACGTGTCAAATAGTCCACCAACTACGCTCGTTACATTTGGTGTGCCGACTCAACCCACGTATTCATTCTTTCTCACCTGTTTTTCTTTTGTCTTTTGAAGCTGATCTTTAATACTTTTATTACAAAACAAAAGCAAACAAAAAAACATTTTGATATTTCATATATTTTTAGTATATATAATAATACATGCCACTTATATTCAATACATAATTTTAATTTCCTAAAATATGTGATCATTACAAGATTTTACTAATTTTATAATTAGTATGCACTGTTTGTGGTTCTATTCTTTCTCAAAACCCATTTTTCAGCTCAGGTCAGATTCTTGTCTAATGGCTACCTTTACTGTTACAGTTTTCTCATCTCTCTACTAATCACATTTTGTAAAACTTGTAATAAGAGAGAGATATGTAATTTCATTTGATGTGCAGTGCTAAAAGTGAAAGTATCAAGAAGAGCAAACATTTGAAAACAAAGACTTATTTGAAGCAGTGATGCACTGATATATATCATTATCATTTCATTTTATCACATTGTCTAACTATAATTAATTAGTAAGAAAAATTTGTTCAGAAAACTGAACAATATCACTATGTTAATTATTACTCCCTCCGTTTCGAAATAATTGTCATTCTAGACAAAAAAATCCGTTTCAAAATAAGTGTCGTTTTTGAGTTTCGAGTCAAAATTTATTAGTTTTATATGATATTCTATTTTTCTATTTGTTGAAAAGTGGTTAGGTGTATAAGTAATTGTATTTTTATCTTGAAAATATGTAAAATTAAATATTTTCTTAATTTGTGTGTAAAAACCTAGAATGACAATTAAAATGAAATGGAGGGAGTATCTATCTAGAAAACGATATTTCACTCTATATCAAAAAAAATAATTTATTTCCTAGTTACTTGTTCGACTATTTTCCTATGAAAATGAACGTCGAGATAGCGATAAAATTGATTGTAATACGCCAAAAATAAAATATAAAGGGCAAAAAATAAAGATTCTACAATATTACAATGACCTTGGGATACTTCAACCAGTCGAACTCTCTACAAATTCAAACCACATAATGTAAAACCCCACAAAGATTTTTTACCATAATTGACTGCCAACAAAACGTTTGTAGAAATTACAACAACAACAAAGGAAGAGGGAAACGAAAACTTTGTAGGACCGACCTCTAGTAAAGACAAAGACTCCTCCTGTCAGTTGATCTTCTTTACTCAAAATAGCCTATATACTTTTGATTATGATCGACAAAACGATCTAAGTTGTAAATTTTTTGTTGCCATTATGCAAATTATTAAAATTTACAAGAAAACACAAAAAAGTACCAAAGAAAACGGAAAATAATATCTCCATGAAGTATCTTGGTTTATATTGTATTTGTCATGAAACCTTATGTATCTACATTTTATTTTGAATCGATGATGAAATGGCATTTTGCAGAAACACTTACATACAAATTCCATAAATAATTATTCCAAATTATAAAATAACAGAAATTCACTAAAACACAGGAAAGCCATAGACTTTAAATTTACACCACTATATATAAAAGGACGAATTGATCCTCTTCTTAAATATGAAAATGACAATGTTCTATCGCTCCTTTCCCATTTGGGAACCTTCTCCTACTATTTCCCTTTGAAAAGATTATTCTTAGAGTTGCCATCATACGGTCTCGGCCACAGATTCACCTCCTAGACGCTCAGACACATATGCTAAAGATTTGAGATTGCATTGAATCAGAGCCTCCACGAAAAAGCAAGTCTCTTCCTTTGTGTTACCCTCAGGCACGTCCACCACAAAAGACTCGATGACCAATGTCCCTTCTCTTCCTTCAATTGTCTCCGGATGTAACGAAATGACTGAGGAATAGTTCTGTTTTTTTATAACAAAAACAAAAGATTAGATTTTATAAAAGAAAACCATTATCACATTTTTAATACTTTACCTTGAGTCTGTGATCGCCACCGACGATTCTGATGCTGAGGACATGTTGATGGTCGTCAAGAAACTCTAATATCTCCGTGCTTTTAGTAGCGGGTAGTCCAGATCTCACATCTACTTCTCTTACTGAACCAATCTCTAGCTTCTTGTCTTTGACCACACACCTACTAATAAACGGCTTGTATTTTTGTGGTTGATCGAATCTCCTCACAAGTGACCACACCTTTTCACAAAAAAAAACAACCAAACCATTAACATCTCAGTTAAGGAATAAGTGGGAACTCCTGGATCTAAAATAAAAAAAAAATAAGCTTACGAGATGAAGAGGAGCTTTGATGTGCTTAACGAGCGTCGAGCTACACTGATTCTCCAAAAGCTCGTGAACGTGGTGCCTCTTGATGTACTCGCTCTCCACGTTCTTTATCTCGTCAGCGTTCATCATTTTTTTCAGAACAACAGAGAAACCACAAACAGAAAAGTGACAATCACGGACAAAAAGAATTAAATTAGATCCAGACTTTTTGGAGAAATGATTTGTCTCCCCTCGGCTGAGATTGGTCTGGTTGGGAAAGAGTAGAAACCAAACGTCTCAACCAACTATTACTTCTCTCAAAATCCTCTTTATTTTTTTAAAAAGTTAAATCAGACTCAGCTCTCATAGATTCTCTTCTTATACAAGGAAGTGCGCATCTAAATGTAATCTGATTGGACAAAAGTACTTAATCTAAGTTAATCTACACATGTCTGCCTATAGTTATGCTCTGTTTATTGACGCATTTACCCTCAGTTTCTGTTGGTGAATTTATTTCTTAATCATTTGTGCTATTGGTTTATTCATAGTTCAAAGAATATTCACCGAATATGATTTTTGCTTTTGAGTTTTTAATGGTTAATAATTGGAAGGTGAAAAGGAATTGGTGTTAGTTACATGGAGAGATGATAGTTTTTGTCCTTTTCTATACTTGCCACTATTAGTAAGAATATACAGTTGGATATTATCAAACTCATATATACTTTATATAAGTATTTGTTAGTAAGACAAAGAGCCACAGTTGCATCTAATCTCTAAATGAAGAATAAGCTGAAATGAACAAATTTACTTTTTAACTCAGCTAACCAATGAAATTAAGCCAAACAAATCATCATTCCAAATTAAATTTATCAGATATGATCAATGATAATATTTGTTTCAAATTCCTGGATTTTCTTTTATAAAAATATATTGATTTGAAGCTTTTCTCAGTTAAAATTTTCTTCTATCAAATCTAACTGTATAGTAATAAATAATAAGATTTTAAGTTACCAAAAACTATAAAATGTTTTCTTGAGTTTTGCCATATTTATACAAATATATTAGGGATGAGATTCAAAATTTGATAAGATCCTTCTATCAAATCTAATTGTATGGGAATATATGGATAATATTCCAAGTTACTAAAAACTATAAAAATGTTTTCTGGAGATTTTCCTTATTTGTAGAAATATTTTAGGGATGAGATTCAAAATTTGAAAAATATTGATTAGAATCTTTTTCTCAGTTAACACCTTCTATAGAATCTAAATATTACATAACAAATGGACAAGATTCCAAGTTACTATAAACTATTTGACAAAAAATAAGTTACTATACACTATAATTGTAGTATAAATAAAATGTAATTATTAAAATAAACGATTTTAGATCAATTTTACTGTCAGTACAGGGGCGGAGGCATATATGAGTTTATGGGGTTAGATGACCCCAATAAAAATGAGAAAAAATAAATATTGGTGTATATTTTGAAAAATTGTTATAATATTTGGTTAAAATTTAGCATTTGTTCCCACTAACTTATGTATAAATATTTTTATGACCCTATTAATTTTAAAAATATATATTTTTACAAAAAAAATATTATAAATATATTAAATTTATATAATATTGACTCTAATCAAAAATATTTCTGATTCCAACACTGACTGCCACTTCAATATGATAAACGTGATTATAATTCTATTCGACACTTTCTTTTTGGACATTCAAATTTATAATTAAAGTTTACACATATCCATATTTATGTGTCTAATAATCAACTATGTGTAGTTTTGGTTTTTGATAAACTGTTGTTTGTAGTCTCCAACATGTCACGGACTGATTTCTTCAGCAATCAGGACGTGCGGCCTTAGTTCCTTCCTACCCCGTGTAGTAACTAAGTCAGCCTTTCGGATAAGTCGCAGCACTTAGAGAGAGAGTGATGAACGAATTTAGAGAGAGGTCAGAGCTATGGAAGTGTTTTTCATTAAGTTTCTGAATGAATTTTACAATGGGACTTTACCCCCTTATATACACATCCACCTCCTCAACGGACGGTGCAGATCGAACCGATCTAACGGCCCAGATCCTTTCCCTCCTATGAAGTAACTTCAACATGAAGTACTTCAGCCTTAAGTAACTTATCCCTTACATTATTTTATATTATCTTCTACTTAGATATTTTACAAAAGCTTAAGACTTAAGAAAATACTAAGTAAGGTCGGTTTTAACCCTCCTCGGTTCGACCCGTTTGTACATCAAAAGTTGGGGCGTGACATCCTCCCCCACCTAAGCCGGTGACGCCCTCGTCGCCGAGTATGCTTTCAGTGCCTCCCGGAATTGCCACAAGTCTTCTTCCGGTTCCCAAGTTGCTTCTGCCTCGGGTCTCCCTTTCCACTTGATGAGGAAATGAGTTTGACGTGGAACACCTCGTTTCCTTACCTCCTTGGTTGCCAAAATCTCCTCAATCTCCTGGTCATAAGACTTAGTCACCACAGGTGGTGCTCGCTTTGAGACTCCTCGGCTTTGATCACTCTCATCCGCGTGGTATGGCTTCAGCATGCTCACGTGGAAAACCGGATGGATCTTCAGTGTATCCGGCAGGTTCAGTCGGTAGGAAACTTTTCCCACCTTCCCAACTACTTCAAACGGCCCTTCGTACCTCCGGATCAAACCTTTGTGTAGGCTCCGGAATGCCTTGAACTGTTGTGGAAGTAACTTCACCAGCACAAGGTCGCCCACTGAGTACTCCGAAGGCCGTCGTTTCTCATCTGCCCACTTCTTCATCCGCTTACGGGACTTCTCTAAACATGCTCGGGCAAGATCAGCATGTTCTTCCCACTGCTTAGCCATTATAAATGCCCCAGGACTCTTCCCTTCAGTCTTTGGTGTAGCCAAAGTATGCGGAGTTAATGGCTGTTGTCCCGTTGCAAGCTCGAACGGACTCCGTCCCGTTGCCTCGTTGCGTTGAAGATTGTATGAGAACTGGGCTATGTCCAGCAACTTAGCCCAGTCCCTTTGGTTGGCACTTACAAAGTGTCGGAGATATCCCTCCAACAAAGCATTCACCCTCTCGGTCTGCCCATCAGATTGCGGGTGAAAGCTTGTGGAGAAACTTAACTCTGTTCCCAGCATCTTGAACAGCTCCGTCCACAAACGCCCTGTGAATCGGGGATCCCGATCACTAACGATGTTCCGCGGAAGTCCCCATAACTTCACCACGTTCTTGAAGAACGCCCTCGCTGCTTCCTCCGCGGTACAGTCCCGATCACATGCCACGAATGTTCCATACTTAGAAAATCGATCCACGATCACCAGGATGGATCCGAACCCTTCGGACTTAGGTAACGCGCTGATAAAGTCCAGCGAAACCGAGTCCCATGGCCGCTCAGGAATCGGAAGTGGCTGCAGTAGACCCGCGGACTGTTTGTTCTCCGTCTTGTCTTGTTGGCACACTAGACAAGTCTTCACATAAAGCTCCACGGTATCCCTCATCCGTGGCCAGTAATAACCCGCTTCAACAAGTGCCATGGTTCGCTTCTGCCCCGGATGGCCCGCCCATCGGGTATCATGACACTCTCGAATGATATCACGTCGAAGACTCTCCCACTTCGGGACATAGAGCCGACGACCTTTGGTGTAGAGTAGCCCATCCTCTACCCAAAATCGATGCACCTTCCCTTCATTGGATAGCTTCACTAACTCCTTGGCAACTGGATCACGCTCCAGCCCCTCCTTGATTCGAGCCATAATAGTCCCCTCGACTTGGCTCATCGCTGCTAGCTCCGCTTTCCGACTTAGTGCATCAGCCACTACATTCACCTTTCCTGGCTTATATTCCAAAGTGTAATCGAACTCAGCCAGGAAGTCTTGCCATCTTGCCTGCTTCGGGGACAGCTTCTTCTGGGTCTGAAAGTAACTCGTCGCCACGTTATCCGTCTTGACCGAAAAGTGTGCCCCCAAAAGATAGTGTCTCCAAACTCGTAAGCAATGAACTATGGCGGTCATTTCTTTCTCCTGCACCGTATACCGCCTCTCTGTATCATTCAGCTTACGACTCTCATAGGCAATCGGATGTCCATTCTGCATTAATACTCCCCCAATGGCAAAGTCGGAGGCATCCGTGTGTAACTCGAAAGGTAGGCTGAAATCGGGTAAGGCAAGGACAGGTTCTTGACTCACTGCTGTTTTCAGCTCCTCAAAGGCTTCTTGACACCGATCAGACCATTCCCACGTCTTCCCCTTCTTGAGAAGGTCCGTCAGTGGCGCTGCCCTCCTTGAATATCCCTCGATGAACCGACGATAATAATTGACCAGACCAAGGAAAGATCTCAACTCCGTTACCTTGGTCGGGGCTTCCCACTCCATGATCGCTTTAACCTTCGGTTCATCCATCTTCAGCTTCCCATGCCCGATGATATGGCCTAGGAACTGAACTTCCTCAGTGGCAAACGTGCACTTCTCCCTCTTCACGAACAGTTCGTTCTCTCGAAGAACTCTGAATACTGTCCGTAGGTGTTCTACATGCTCCTCCATCGAGTTGCTGTAGATCACGATATCATCCAAGTATGCCACCACGAACCGATCCAAGTAGGGCTGTAGGATCTGGTTCATAAGGGTGCAGAACGTGGCTGGGGCGTTCGTAAGCCCGAATGGCATCACCAACCACTCGAACGACCCATACCGCGTTATGCACGCAGTCTTCGGCTCATCTCCTTCCGCTATCCGGACTTGATAATATCCCTTTTGTAAGTCCATCTTCGTATAGATCTTCGCCCCACCAAGTCTATCGAAGAGATCCGCGATCAATGGAATTGGATAACGGTTCTTGATGGTTACCTTATTAAGTGCCCGGTAGTCCACGCACATTCTCAATGATCCATCGTGCTTCTTCTGGAACAGTACCGGTGCGCCATAAGGTGCCTTCGACGGTCTCAGCTTCCCCGTCGATAACAACTCATCGAGCTGTTTCCTCAACTCTTCGAGCTCGGTTGGAGCCATTCTGTAAGGCGCCATGGATGGTGGCTTAGCTCCAAGCTCCAACTCGATCTGATGGTCCACCGCCCTCCTCGGTGGCAACTTCTCGGGCAACTTCGCTGGCATCACGTCCTTGTTCTCTTCAAGGACTGTCTCAATGACTGAAGGGATGGACTCCACGTTTTTAGATTCATCCTCCATCTTCATCATGGCCAAAAACGTGGGTTCACCCTTCTTCACCCCCTTGGTGATCTGCATAGCCGATAGTTGCCTCATCCCATCAGTCTTCTCTTCCACGGTCGGAATCATGCACGGTGATCCCTTCTCAAGTATGCACACAGAACTCAATGCGGGCATAGGTATGGCTGAGACTCGTCTCATGAAATCCATACCTAAGACCACCTTAAAGTCGTCCATGGGAATAACCGAGAAGTCCACCAAACCACACCAACTTCCCAGTCGCATCTCGACCCCTCGAGCTATCCCATTGACGGGTTGAGCCTTAGCATTCACCGCCTTCATCCAACCATCCTTCTTGGACCATCTAACACCGAGTTTCACAGCCTCGTCAATGGCCATGAAGTTGTGAGTGGCTCCCGTGTCCACCATCACTCGGGTTGGTTTACCATTGATCCGCGCCTCAACGTACATAAGCCCCTTGCTCGTCGGCTTCACCACCGGGTTAGCCTTCAGTGCGTTGAGTAGCTGCAACGACCCCATCTTACTTGATCCCTCCTCTTGAGTCTCGGTCTCCTGACTCTCCATAATAGCAGACAAGGATCCCATCTTCGGGCAATCCTTCATCGCGTGGGGTCCTTTGCACACAAAACATCCTCCCTTAGGAACGAAGGATTTCTTCCTTGCCTCAAAATCCTCCCGTCGAGCACCCTTCTCAAAACTCCTTGAGTTGGATGGCCGAGTTGTATCCCTTCGTGCTCCCCCACCTTTGGCCACGCCCTGCTCCTTCTTCCTAGAGGACTCGGACGGACCAGTAGTACGGAAGTCAATCAAGGACTCAGCCACCGCAATAGCTTCATCCAGGGTCTTAACTCCCCGACGCTGCAACTCTTGTTTGGCCCAAGCTTGCAGCCCATCGGTGAAGTAAAACACGAGATCTTCCGCCGTCATGCTTGGGATTTGAAGCATGAGAGTCGTGAACTCTTTCACGTAGTCCCGGATCGAGCCTCGCTGTCTAAGTTCCCTCAACTTCCTGCGGGCTTCATACACGACATTCTCCGGGTAGAATTGTCGCTTTAACTCCTTTTTGAAATCATCCCAAGTATCGATCCGGCACGTGCCTTGCTCGATCTCAGAATGTTTCCTTCGCCACCACAGCATGGCTGTGTCCGACAGGTAGGACGTCGCAGCCTTCACCTTCGCATTCTCAGCCACCAGGTTAAGGTTGTCGAAGTACAACTCCATTTGCCACAGGAAATTCTCCACCTCCTTGGCATCCCTCGCACCGTTGAACCGGTTGGGTTTCGGAAATTCAACCTTACCCACACTGGTTCCTCCAACGGCTCCAGCATTCGCGCTTGCCCTCTTGACAAGCGTGACGTCCTCCTCCATGGCAACAAAGCGTGCTTTCATCCCCTCGATGTCATCACGCAAAGCCTGGATAGATCCCGTCATCAACTCCTCGAGTCGAATGAACCGAGTATCCAGATCGGCAGCATGTTGCTTGACCTCCTCAAGCCCACCGAACACGACACCCTCCAGCTCAGTGACGGTATGCTCGACCCTCTCGAGCTTCTCACCAAGTTCACTAACAGCCACACCCAAGGCCTCACGAGAAACGCTCTTCTCTCGCTGGGTACCACCACGTGTGGCCATAGCCTCCCTTCCACGCTCCTCGACACCGGACGTCGAGCTAGTTTCTTTTTCTTTGTTTTTATCTCCCTTAGCCATTCTCTCGGACAGAGTCTCCCCTTGTCTGGATCGTAACTTCGCTCTGATACCAACTGTCACGGACTGATTTCTTCAGCAATCAGGACGTGCGGCCTTAGTTCCTTCCTACCCCGTGTAGTAACTAAGTCAGCCTTTCGGATAAGTCGCAGCACTTAGAGAGAGAGTGATGAACGAATTTAGAGAGAGGTCAGAGCTATGGAAGTGTTTTTCATTAAGTTTCTGAATGAATTTTACAATGGGACTTTACCCCCTTATATACACATCCACCTCCTCAACGGACGGTGCAGATCGAACCGATCTAACGGCCCAGATCCTTTCCCTCCTATGAAGTAACTTCAACATGAAGTACTTCAGCCTTAAGTAACTTATCCCTTACATTATTTTATATTATCTTCTACTTAGATATTTTACAAAAGCTTAAGACTTAAGAAAATACTAAGTAAGGTCGGTTTTAACCCTCCTCGGTTCGACCCGTTTGTACATCAAAAGTTGGGGCGTGACAAACAGCTACATTTGGTCTTGGCGATGAGGACAATCCCGCTTTCCTCATCTCCTACGCTCATAATCCTTGCATAGCAATTTGGCGTACACTGACTAAACCATGCATCTCATTATCTATATTTTCCAAATGTTATCCCTTTCTAGTTTGTAAAGTCACAATCATTTATCAAATGACAAAAGCTACTAACATCAAAACTATTATTAGATACTATCAAGCTATAGAAAGAAATATCAAACCGCTTATATATATTTAGATTTTTTGAGACAGAGCTTCATCAGAATATCATTTGTGTAACCAACTACAAATTGTTTCTCTTCCTAATCATTACTCCTAATGCTTATTCAGACCCTTATGTACAGAAAGATGAAGATGGGTGGGGCCTTGTATTTTTGAACACACTACATTACCAAACTGTTCTTTCTGCTCATCTTTAGGGCCTAAACTAACAGTCCTAATGCATCTCCTCTGTTTTTGCAAAACCTTCCTCGGATTCTTGGTTGATTGTCTGCAAGAGCCTTCCTGCAATGCAAGCATACTGCAACCATACACCAAACCAACCACAACTCAGTTTCAAATATTGAGATATCATCTTCCACTTTTCAGGTCTTTACCTTGATTTTACGACCGAATTTCCGCCTGCTCTTCTTGTTTTAGTATCGAGCAAGCTTCTCACGGCGGTCCTCAGACATGCAGGTAATGATTACTTGGTCCAGTTGAGAAGGAACAAGACCAGCTTTTGTAGTCCTCAGATCCACAAGTGAAGGAACTATAAAGACCCTTACAGATGAAAAAGTAGAGCCAAATGTGAATTTGGAGCATACCCTATGAGAAAGTTCTCTACTTTGGTCCCCCTTCTTGCCCTTGCGATGTAGACAGCAAGATTTTGACCGCATCCAACAACCACCCAAATTGAACTATTCGAAACTACCCGGATCTACATGCCTACTGTAACCCATATCACTTTTGTAAAGTAAGCTTAAATATTAATTTACTAAACTCTATGGTAGTTAGGTGGTTGTAGTAGACAATCAACATTAAACTCTTGTCACGTGAAATTTTTCCGTTTACTGATATGCCATTGACTAAAACATCAGTGATGAATGCAGTCTTTACTATTTATGCACGTTACATCCCTTCTGTATTTTAGAGGCATTCACAAACTGATCATGGTAAATCAAGAACAACCACTAATATCTCACCACTTGTCGCATTCTAAGCTACATCAGATTCTTACTTCACAAAGAAGACTTTGTAATCAAACCAGTTTTGAACACATAGTTAAGCAATAACCAGATTAAAAAGTTTTATTAAACGAATCACAACTGTCTTGAAAAGAAACCAAAAGGGCAGATTGATTCAATCATAATCCCATAACAAGATGATAGTTCAAAGAAAAATTTGGCTTTAAGAGAAGAAAAGAGAACAAGGAATTAAAGATCAGTTAAACTTTGCGTTAGAGAAGTTCATCTCAGGATGCTGAGACATAAACTTCTTCATCATATCTTCCTTCTCTATCTCATCACTCGTTGGGAGTCCCATCTGCTTCTGCCTCTGATCAAACATCATCTTCTCAACGCTGCTTCGAGTTTCCGGGTCCAAATCAGACAGTTTGCTGGTCTCTGGCTCAACCTTCTGAGTGTCAATCTCAGGTTCTCCTTTCACACAGTACTTCCACCACTGCATCTGGTCCTGCTTTGTCAAGAGCACAGATATGACTTTCTGATCCTCAATGTTCCAGAAGCAGTCATCAGGCTTGACAGTACTGAAGAACTCTCCATCGATGATTGGTTCTTGACCTTTGAGACCGACCTTCAGACGGTTCTTCTTGATCTCACACGTGACAGAGCGTGACTTGGTGCCGCTTGGAACTGGAACGGTGACCGTGACCTCCTGGAGATTCTGTGTCCATGAGTACTTCTCGAAATCAAGACCGTTGCCTTTGTTAGGAACTGCACCAAAACGAGACATCAAGTTAGGTTAAAATAAAAGAAATAAAGTTATTTGATCTATCAACACTTTAAGATCTAATCTTTCTCCAAAAGAAGAGCACATCATCAAACAAGAACCCACAAAACTCATAAATCAAGATCAAAGGACTTACCGATGGGACCTGGTTTCTTTTCCTCTTCTTCCTTAGGTTTATCCACTTCCATTGGTTCCGTGGGCTTCAAGCTTTCCTTCTTTGGCTTCTCCACCTCCATGGACACACTCTCCTTCGTCGGCTTCTTCTCAATAGGCTTCACGGGCTCCTTCTCCTTCTTCTCGGCTTCCCTCAACCTCTTCTTTGCAGCCGTAAGAGCAGTTGACACGTCCTTGTCGGAGGAGTTTTTCAACAGAAAGTCGCTCTCTTTCCCCATAAAGTCAAAAACTCTCTCCAAAAACACTAGAGGGTTTGAAGGATCAAGACTTGCCTTGAACGGCACCGATGGTCTCTCCTCTTGCATCTCAGAGATAATCGCCATTGGTTTTCGAAGAAAGCTTTTAGGAGTTTCTTGCTGGGGATTGAATGTCAGAATGAAATTTTGTAGTCGACAATGAATCAGAGAGTTGAGTATTTATAGGGAGGAAGTACAAAAGCAAAAACGAAGGTTCGAGAAAAAGCAGACTAAGTTTTCCAAAATTCATCAATTTCCTTTATTCATAATATATTTTTCCATTTATCATTCAATTTAATAATATGTAAATTTGCAACTCCCTAAAGATAAATTATACAATTTATGACACTTTAATTGATTTTAGAAGATTGAGATTTGTTTCTCGGAAAAAGGAATAAGATTTGTGTATTTTTATATAATCCTATTTTTATTTAGAATGATATTTTAAATATGTGCGTGAAAATCCTATTGATACTTGACAGAAAACAAGATTTGTTGAAATAAGATTTGTAGATATCTTACATGATAATAAATCTTAAATAATCTACAGGAATTGAATAGCATCATATTTTTACTTTATATATTTGATCATTGTTAAAGTCGGTAGATTTTCAACCTACACAAAAACATTTTCTCTAGTTTTATGATCAAACAGGGTGTTAGATTCATCGTACCAAAGTGGAAGGCTAATTAACCAGTTAATCATTCCTCGTAATCAAATTATCTTTTACCACTGCGATCATATCTCCAATCTCCATGTATGAATAAATCTTAAAAATATAACTTGTGGTAAGATCAAACACATTCATTCAAAATATGTTTTAGATACAGACAAAGAAGAAGAAGAGTGGTAAAACAAATTCATCATACAACTTTCGTTCTCAAAGAGAGAAAAAGGAGAGAGAATCCAATCGATCAGGAAGACAGGTTTGGCATGAAAAGACCAGAATCTGGACTGTGTTGCTCTTTCCAGATTTTACCAGTGACTCTAAGTTTAAGCTCTTTCCTGTCCCCTCCTGAGAAGAAGAGAGCCATGTTTCTCTGGATGATGAGACCATCGTTGCTGTCTCTTACTTTCCTGTGGCTATCTCTGATGCTTCTTGGTGTTCCTTCCCATGTTAGCTTCCTCCCACTGCCTCCCACTTCTAAGCTATAGCTGTAGCTCCGTGCTTCTTCCTCGTCCCCCATGAATCTCAGGAACGCCATGTATACCGGACCCATCCCTAGCTGGAATGCCTCAAAATGGAGGCAGAAGTATTGCCCAAAGCAGTGAAACACCTGAAACCCAAACAAAGGAACACAAAGACAACAAGACTTGTGAATTCCTATGTCCTAAAACATTGAAGATAAGACAAAGAAATAAGCTCACGGTTAGCATCCAAGTGGCGTTCTCTACTTCACGCGGATTAGACTTGACGTAACGGTGATTAAAAGTGGAACCAGCATGCATATCGACTTTATGATCATCCCTGAGATGGGATACAAGGAAAGGGATGTCTCCAACAACACCACACTCCGACCCAGCATAAGGACAACCGTAAGGTCTGAAGTTACAAAGAGACTCATGCTTCAATTTGCTGTAATAAGGAAAAATCTCAGGGCATCCCAAGTTGTAAAACTTGCAAGGAAGCTCAAGAGACTCAGCAACTTTCTCAAGAGCTAAACATCTTATATCTCCAAGCTCTTGTCTACAAGTGGGACACCGGTTATGCACTCTCACTTTACAGGTCGAACATAACGTGTGCCCATTATGACACTGCAACAAAAAAAAAAACAAAGACAGAGACTTTTTTAACATCACCACATAAATCTCAAGAACTTACATAGTCTCAAATCGTAGGATACAAGCAGCCACATTATATATATATCAGTTAGACACTACACAAGATAGTACACACAAGATAGTACATAATTGACATTGACTAAACACATCTAACATCGTGCTGATTGCTTAATTAAATTCTAATCAAAGAAGCAAATTTAAATGGGAGATTGACCTGATGGATAGGAGGGTACATAGAACAGGTACAGACAGGACACTCGAGAAGCTCGTAGACGCTGGTTGCCGTGGGACCGACTATGTTGGTAACGACGGCGGGAGAAGCGCCGCCGCCTCCGCCGTGAGTCTTGGTGGAAGAGAAATGGAAAGTTCCGTTGTGATGGATCTCATCGTTCTGATTGCTTCTCGTTGATGATTCCATACTATCAGTCTCCATTTCCCACAAATCAATTTCCCACCAAATTGAAAAAAACAAAAATCCCTAAATTTCAAAATTAGGTCAAAAAAATCCCTTTCCCTATTTTTTTTCTTAAAAGAAAATTCCTTTCTTTCAAAACCGATTAATAGGAGCAAAAGCGATAGAGTAATCTTTGAGGATGGATTCGATTAGACAAATCTGGAAAAAAGAGAAAAAGGGAAAGAAAATTGAATTTCTTTTCAGGGAAACCAAATCGGGGCCCTGACTATTGTCTCTTCCCCTCCCTCCCCTCTTTCGCTAAGGTCACCGTTTCTGGGAAAGGCGGATGCTTTTCTTCGTTGATCTCTGAAATTGAGGGAGAAAAAAGAATTGAGAAGAGAGATGGAGATCTGAGCCGTTCAGATGGCTGTGGCTCTCTTTAATTCGAATTTGAATCCGACGGTTATCTTACCAACTCAACCAATTGGATACAGCCATTTCCACTGTTATTATACCAAACCCCCCCCAATGCCAACGTAACTGATGTCCGCCAATTTGCATTAAACGTCGCCGTTTGAAAGAATTAAATTAAGTGATAACTAGTTATATCTATTGTATAAACAAATGGTTCTATGGTCTAGCGGTTAGGACATTGGACTCTGAATCCAGTAACCCGAGTTCAATTCTCGGTAGAACCTTCTTTTTTCCTCTTTTCTAAGAAAATCCTTTTTTCTTTTACTAGTCAAACAAACTGAATAGAAAATGGCAAACTGTTTTATTTGTGCTTTCGTACACTTGGAAACGACTTCTACACTCACAAGTCACAACAAAGGTTTTGTTTAAAAAGGAAACAAAAAAAAGTCTAACGAGAGCTCTCAAAGCACAGCTTGAAAGATCAAAGTAGCATGAGTTTGACAAAGATTCAGTTTCAGTATGATGATGAGTATCCAAAGCTACCAGCCTTTCTCCCCATAAGTGCAAGCATCATCTCACTAGCTGGAGTTTCAGATCCATCAGACCATCCGTACTTCTCCAGCAACTGATCCAAAAAGTTACCAACCACGTAAGATATCCCTGACACCGACACAGCAATCATCGCGTATTTCAGAACACTCTTCAGGTAGCTTCCTCTCGGGCTCCTCACCCTAGCTTTGGCTATAGCCAGCAAGACGATGCAAATCAGAGATGCTCCGAAGACTGATGCTACTTTGTAGTCTCTGTTGTGTGTTTTGCTGAATGAGAAGTAGTAGACTATAGGAGGGAGTAGTCCGGCGATTATGAAGGAAAGTATTGCGACTGTTACGTGAAGCGTGAAGTTTTCTCTTCTTCCTAGGAGTCTCTTGTACCTATCTTCTTCTTGAACGTTAGTTTGGTTATCCTCTGTTGTTGTTGTTGTTATTGTTCTTATGGGTTCATCCTCTCTAAGTTCTTGGAGCTGCAAAAAGAAGTTTCTCTTTTAAGTTTCTTTTATGCATCAAGATGAGGAAAGATTAAGTGGTGGTCACTCACGTTATGAATAATGAGAATAAGCCCGCCAAACAGGTTTGCAAGCCCCAATACCAAAATGTTCACTGCAACAACAACGAAACATACGAGTGTTGAGATTTTTCAGTAACGAGTTTTTTGTGTTGTGTTTACACAGTGGAAGTGTAATGCTAAGGATGAGGAGTGTACTTACATGTTGAAGCACCAGAACCAGCGGCAGATGAGATAACGCCGAGGCTTGTGATGGCTTCTATCAGACCTCCGTATACAATGCTTTTCAAGATCTCTAGCTTACGTCCTTCAACTACTGGTACTGTAGCAACTGGTCTCACTAACGGTTCAGTTAGAGTTCCTTCTTCCAGCGAACTCACTGGAAGTGGTGGAATATCAATTCCATGACTTGCTCCTCCGTTAGCTGAGTCCATCACACCTAAACGGAAGCGGAATGTTAGAAAGGCATGAATGATAATGACTACAAAAGTACGTTAACAAACAAAGAAGATCATAGCCTCGCGGCATGAATAACAAATTTAAGATTACCTGTTACTTTGGCCAGACCAAAATCTGGCTTTCTAGGGTCTGTTCCTTCGAACATATGAGATACACCGTCTGTGTGAATAATAGTTTCTACTCTTACTCCATCAGGTCCACTAGTCACTATGCTTGATATGTTCATGTCATGAGATGGTTGAATCGGGGAGAGACGTCCTGTGTCTGACGAGTAATTTTCCTCTGCTGCGCTAGCATCATCCCCGTTGATCTTTAGATGTGTTTGCTCCTCATCCGATGAAGGAACCTGAACATGTTTTCCGTTTTCAACAGTAGCTCCACTGTTGACACCTTTGCCTGTATCATTTGAGTTTGCAACTGCCATTGTACAAAGAAAAGAGTGGTGGAGTTTTTAACAAGTCCAAAGGAGAGAGGCAAAAGCTAAATAAGAGAAGAAGGATTGGCTATATATCATGTATTGTTTTTATTGATGTTGCTTCTCAAAAAATTCAACTACAAGACACGAAACATGGGTTCCACTTTTTAAGAGTTACTCAATTATATGTACCTTGAATCAGAGGGGTGTCAAGAGGCTTATTGGCTTCAGAGACACTGATCTCTGACACACCTGCACCACAATGTGTTGAAATTATTGCCTAAGATCTAAGGGTAAAATTGTAGAGGCATTCAAGAAGTCCATTTATACTTATTAGCATTTTTAATTAGAGATTTTAGTCTTTTATCTTCCTTCCTCCTTAATTTCAGGATCTATTTGTTTCAAGTAAATACTGAATAAGAGAATGTCCCCTACCTTGAATCGGAGTTACTGCACCTTCCTGAACAAGCGCTGGCCCTTTTGATGGGATATTTGCAGTAGAACCTGATTCTTTTCCTAAAACGCTTGGGTTATCACGTGGCAGACTAGCTTCCGGCATACTAGGCATTGCTCCACCTGACGACACAGAATAAATAAATTTAATCCTGATGCTAATATATTACAGACCCCCTTCAGCATCATTGTGAATAAAGAGAGGAGAGACATTGCATTATTACAGCACTAATTCTACTAGACACCGAAGTAACCACTAAATTTAAGCAGTCTGCAATACCCGTTTTGAAGTACTAAAAGAATGGAATGTCTTAGTACTACACATGAACCGAGTGATAAGATTAACAAAGGGACCAAACAATACCTTGCTGAAAGTGAACAGATGGTTCTTTATTCTTAAATCCAAACACTGAACCAAACCAGTTGGAATGGTCAGTAGCTTTCTCTTGAGGCTTTGGCTGAGTGTTTAACCTCTCGGCAACACTTTCACCGGGAGCAACCGGCTTTGAATCCACCCCAGCAGTTTGATTTCCCATAGGAGCAACCGGCTTTGAATCCACCCCAGCAGTTTGATTTCCCATGGGAGCAACCGGCTTTGAATCCACCCCAGCAGTTTGTTTTTCCATGGGGGCAACCGGCTTTGAATCCACCCCTGCATTTTGTTTTTCCAACAAAAATACAAAAGCATGCTTTTATATACAAAGAATACTTCAGTTTTCAAGTACCACACAAATTCTAATGTACCTTTGGGTATGAATATGCTGAGGCAAGACAAGCACTTGTAGAAAAAGGATTCGTGTATAACGTTGTCACTACCAACTGGAGATGGTTCATTGTCCTCCGAACGAATAGGGACAATAGGGTCAGGTCCTTTCACGCGCTTTGGATCTTCAGGCCCATGACTGATCTTTCGTTTTCTTTTCTTGAGGATAACTCTTTTGGTGATGCAAGAATTACAGTTTGGACAGAACAAATCATGTGTTTCTTGGTTATCCAGCACTTTCTCCACATTGTAATCTTCAACACCTTCAATGTCCACCTCCTCTTCTATCAACTCACCATCCCGTTGATCAACAACAGCATCCACCTCTTTCGGGAACTCAACCTCATGTACTTCTTCAATTTCACGTGATAATCCTTTGTTATCCTCAGAAGTTGACCCGTTTTCAACTACTTGCTCCTTTTTCTCCGCGTTTAAGTTGTCGGCAGTTTGAGACTCATGAGCATCAGTTTCTGCATCAGCTGACTCAGAGCCTAACAAAAATAAAACAAAACAAGAATTAACCAGAAGCTCAATAATACAATTTGTATTATACAAATGATGGCATCTTCAACCAAGTAAAGTAAGTCCCTTAATCAATCAATATATGAGGAAATAGCTAAGCTTAAATTAAGGTTTGTTGGTCGGAGAAGCCCCTAACAAAGGACTGACCTTTGGTCTCAAAACATAACAAAGAAGAATCTTCTCTGTAGGTCCAATCACAGTGGCGACATTTCCAAATTCCTTCATCCACAAACAACAAATCATTGACAAAGACTTCTCACTATAGCCACCAGAAACGTGACAGAGAATCTATAATCCTCCTAAACATTATTGTTTTAAGCTAATAACTATAGCCTAATTGATTTTGAATCATTTCAACAATTGAGAAGTAAAATAGCACAAAACTGATGAAAAAAAAAACGCTAAAATTAAAAAAAAAAAAAAAAAAAAATTATTACATGAAACAAAACATGAAGTCAACGAGAGGTTTTAAGTCAAACAAGAACCTTGTTCCTCGTCAAAGAAGACGTTGCCCTCGTGGTGCTCCTCGTGAAACTCGATCACCGTCTCTTTCTCCGGCGACTCCGGGACCTCCAAGTTCTCAATTCCGATCCGCTCTCCATCTCCGTTCCGGAAATCAGGGATCACTTCCGTACCATTATCACCGCAAAAGCTGGAAGAGGAGCTGTTGTTGGTGGTGATGGTACTACCGTCAGCACTGTCTGGTCTCTTCCCGTGAGGAAACGACGACGTTTTCCTTTCCAGCTCAACAACTTGCTCCTCGTCCTCTTCTTCAAATTCTACAGGCTTGTGGAGCTTCTCGGACCCAGTGGTGGGCTCAGTGATTTCGGCTGCGGATCCCATCAGAGGAGAGGCCAAAAGTGGAAGACAAGAATGGCCAAAGATAGAAGATGTGAGATCTGGAGATGATGGGGTCGTCTCTGTCTCCTTCTTTGCTTACTTCAACATTATCAAAGCCGATGTTGATATCTTCTTCTGTGTTTTATATTAAAATAACATTTATTGATTATAATTATTGATCATGATGATGATGTAGTGTTTTGATTTCTTTTGCCGTTTATCACCACGGTTTCTACATGATAATTTTATACTACTTTTGTTAACTTATCTTTTGTCTTTGACACGTTCTGATTCTAATAACTGTTGACAAAAAAAAGAGCCTAATTATCAATATATACACAAATTTTATAGGATTTTTACAGGAATACAAACAAAACATTACCGTATGTGTCAATTTACATTTTTTTTTACAATTCAAGTCAAAACAAAAGTGGTTGAGTCACAAACTTATATCAGAAAAATATTTTGTCAGTTTTTTCGTCAATATAATTAGCTGTTATTTATATAAAGTGAAACTTTTATAAATTAATAATGTTTGAAATACACAAAATTATAATTTTTATTAATTTATAGAAATTATTCATTTATCAATATATTAATAGAATAAAAAAATTAATTTAAAATTATAAAATTATATTATTTTATAAAAAAAATTAGTATATATTAATTTATTTATAAAATATTAATTTAAATAGATTATAATGTATATATAAATTTAAAAGTTGTAGGTTGTTGTCCAATAATGGACTATATATTATACTGTTAGTTGAAGATTTTTGTCAGCTTCTTTTAAGGGATTGATTTTGTCACGTGGATGACAGAAGATAGAGAGTGAGTGGTGAATTCATATCACGATGTATTCACCTCCCTACCTAACGATGCCTCTCTCTCTTTGATTTTTATTACGGCGAAAAGACACTTATCTAGATTGAACAATTAGCTGGTAACACTAATAAATAGATAACCAACCACATAGTAAAAAAAGTTGTATCTTCAAAGCTCAAATTAATGGCTCAATGTAAACACTCCAAGATAATTTTGTACGCAACGCGTTTGCTGACATTTTGCCATTTATCCCATCCCTATAATTTATTCAGATATTTTTCAAAACTGTATCAACCAGAGTTGGTCCATAGTTATTATTTTAGGCTATTGAACTAACTACATTTTAGTGAACAAAATATACCTATAACCAAATTTCATACAAGTTTTTTTCAGTACCAATCATGTCTTTTTATGTTGACCGTGACGTTTCTCGATGTTGTGGTTGTGGTTGTGATCAATCACCATCGCCATTAAAATATTATATTTTTCACATTCCCAAGTTTATCACTGTAACTAAAAGAAACCAAAAGAATTGCACGAGGGATGCATGATTTCTAAGTTAGTTATAACAAAAAAAAAGAAAATGTTATCACAAAAAATACTTGGGAGAGAAGAAGATACTGGAGCAAATCGCCTGATTCAGTACAATCAATAATACCTACCTAAAATAACCCAAAACACACGTTACGAACGTGGTTGACAGATATGCATATTATCTCCAAATTCCAAACTAACTACAGTATAAACAAATATATATTATAAGGAATGTAAATCGATTTAATAATAGTATTATCGATCTCAGTCGATATGATAATGAACCAGTCATGATTCACACGAACTTGACATTTGCTTTCACATGGATTCATCATATCTCTGTTTTTGATACCCGCCAGATATTTTTTATAGAATCAGCAAATTAAATAGGTGTTGGTAAGACTTTTAGCTCAAATTAATCCGTAGAATATATAATGGTACAAAATGAATCCAAGCATTTCAAGTAAGCAATAAACGACAACAAGTACACAACGAGAACGAGGCATGTAAAGGTGTTTCTTTGTGTTACTGCATCCTTAATATACCAACCAAACTAAGACCATGTTTATTATAGGTCCCTTATCGTATGGTTCTTTAGCTTTTAACTGAAAACGCTGAAGAACGTCTCTTAAATCACTTATATAAGGGACGTCCGTTAGCGTTTTCAGTTAAAAGCTAAGGGACTGTACGCAAAGAGATCCAGCTTAAGGGATTTGCAATAATCATGCTATTGTTAATCTAAACGTTTATCTCTTGTTAAAAGAAGAATGTTAAAAAAATATATTATTTTTTTTGTTCCAACAGAAAGTTTCTTTGTGTCTCGTTGAAGTACTCTCTACTTTATTTCACTATAAAAATAAATATTGTTTTAGTTTGTCTAAGGAAAACATTCGATACTATAAAAGGAAATAAAAGGACAATGTAAGTGAAAGACAGAACAAGAGACTAAAGTCTCAAACTCGTGGAGTTTCTGTAGCTTCATCATAAAACCCGCTTTTCTCAAGCCACTGGTTTACGAAATATCCCATGAACGTAGAGAATCCAGACGCGGTCGTCGCCATTGACGTGTACCTAAACAGAGTCTTGACATACTCGGGTCTCTTCGAGACGTAAGCTTTCGCAACAGAGAGCAAGACGATGCAGAGGAGAGACACTGCGTAAACAGCTAATGTCTTGTACTCTTGTCTCTTCTCGATTCTTCTTCTGAAGGAGAAGCCGTATACAAGAGGTGGGATCAGACCGCATACGACGAAAGACGTGATTACGATCAATCTGTGAAACCACCATTTCTCTCTTCTTCCAAGAACTTCCACATACTTATCTTCTTCTTCTTCTTGCTGATCATCAGTGCTGGTTCTTGCTTTGGGTTTCTCGTTTGTTAGTTCTTGAAGCTGCAAATGAAAACAGCGTCTTTTTAGTTTTTAAATCCTTTGAAATTAATGTTACGTGAGAGACAAGAAAGATCACTTACGCTGTGAACAATCAGAAGAAGACCGCTTGACAAATTAGCAACTCCCAAGGCCAAAACATTCACTGCAATACAATCAAAAGTTATTAAAAATGTTGTTAGTTTAATAGTGATAAGGCCTCAAGGATCACTTACGAGTTGAAGCACCAGAGGCGGCTGCAGATGTTACAGTGCAAAGGCTTGTGATGGATTGTGTTAGGCCTCCATACACAATACTTTTCAATATTTCAAGTTTATTACCGCCTTTAAGAGGTTCAACACTCTTTGAGATCTCTGGTTGAGTATCTGGTTTCACCCCAGGTTCTGCTTGAGTTTCAGCTGGTGTTTCTTTCTCTACATTTTCATGAGTTTCCTTGTCGGAAATTTGCATAGATGGTTGCTCCTGTGGTGGAGGAGGATCTACCAGAACTGGGTGAACTTTTTGGTTGTCTAACATAATCAAATAACATTTGTTACAAACCAAGCTTCACTAGGATTTATCTCATAATAAGAATTCAAAACATACCTGTCTTTTTGTCAGAATCTTGAGCAGGATATGCAGTTTGGTCATTGTCATATTGAGTTTTCTTACTCTGTTCTTCTTCACTAGTAGTATCATTATACTTGGAGTCAATCTCTTTGTCGTCTGGTATAGTTAAAAAAAAATCGTCAGAATCTTGAACTAATAATGAATACAAAAGACTTGAGGATGAAACAGTAACTTACCTTTCTCCTTGTGATATATGGGAATGTAACCGGACTTCATTGCTATAATGATGAGAAGCAACACCGCAAAGGCTGGAAGTAACCAAAGTATGGAAGCTGAAGACAGCGGTAATGAAGAGACAGAAGGAAGGTCCAGATGTGGTGGAGTGAAAGAAAGTGATTGTTGTGGAGAAGTGGAACTGGAAAGGACAGAAAAAGCAATAATAACACATAGGAACAACCACGCAAAAACATCGAGATACCACTTGGGAAAACTCGGTCTATCTTTTTCAATCTTGACATCAATGCTCGGTTCCTCGCTATTGGTACCAAGATCGTTGATAGTTGACTTTGAATCTGCCAAGAAACCGAAGTCAATCACAACTATCCTTACAAACAACACAAAAAGAGAGGGTACCTTTGTCTTTGATGTGGTCATAAACAGAAAGAAACAGCTTCTGGAGATAAACAGGGAACCATGATAAAACTTGTGTCTTCTTGTCTTCGGATCTTGAATCATTCTTAGTGTCAACAGCTTCTGTTGCAGCGTCACCGTTTTTCACGGGTTGGAGATCTGATTTCTTCACGAGTTTGACTGTTTTGGTGATGTCTTCACCACAGCAGGGGCAGTAAAAGTAATACTCATGCTGGTTCTTGATCACAGTCTCCACATCATCATCGAATAAATCACGTTCTGTTTGTGAATCTTTTCCTCTTACTGCATCTTCAGTTTCAGGTGAATGGTTCTTGTCTACGGATCTTGAACCAGTCTCAGTGTCAATAGCTTCATATAACTCCAATCCTATTGGTACCAAACTAGAGTCTAGCATTTATAAAAAAAAATTAAAAGAGTGAATAGTAGTAGAATTTTCATTTACTATTTTTTTTTGTTCAAAAACAACTATTAATGAACTGTGTAAGAAAGCTAAACAGAAGTAAAACTAATCCTCAAACCTTGTTCGTGGCTGAAGTCAACGCTATCATCCTCCTCGCTGCCGTAGTCTGGGGGTAGTTTGGTAAATTCATCGGTGTAGACACCATCGTCATTGGCAACGTCAACGGTGGAGCTTGGAGAGGGAGTCTGATTCGTGGCGGTGGATTCCATTGAAGATACACAAAGATGAGATTCAAAACCATGTTCATCATCATAGTTTTATGGTTAGTTTAGTTACGTTGTCTGAATATTTTTATTCCACGATGTCCACGTTCTTTATTTTATTTCTAACCAACACGACTAACCAATATACTGTCTTTAGTATTAGTTTACCAAAATGACAAGAAAAAAAAGAAATTAAACTATTCTTAATTTTGTTAATTGTATATGAAAATTGAAAAATTCCAACAATTATTAATGAAACTGAAAAATTGAAAAATGAAACTGACTATTATTAATGATAAGCTTCCAACATTTTGTTTATAGAGAAACAAACACACATTAAAGACTTGAGACACAAGGCAAAATATGGATAACTTTATTCTATGGAACAAATAGACAACTCATTTTAGATCACTTTTTAAGATAATCAGAGGCAAGCTTATGAAAGTCAAACTTTGCAAACACATCTCTAGCGTGTTGACTTGCGATGAAAGAAAGCGCAGAGCCACCAACGGCTATTCCAGTGTACGCAGCCACGGTCTTGAGTTTATCCATGCCAAAGGCATAAGCTTTGGCAAAGGAGAGAGTGATGACGCAGATCAGAGATGCAGCGACGAAAATCACAGCTCTCTTGTCTGTTATTTTGTAAGAAAAGCCGTAGAAGAGAGGAGGGACCACACCGAAGACGATGAAGGAAACCAAAACAACGACGCAATGGAGTATGACTCTGTTTCTTTTTCCTAAAAGTTCCTCGTATGGATCTACTGATACCAGTTCTGGCATATGATCATTGTTCCAGCTTTGATATCTTGGTCGTTTAAAGAGTCCATATAGCTGTCAATATACATTACTCTTTTGTAAGTTTGAACGTTTACACATGAGAAAACAGAGTAGGTGTGCTCTGTTTTCTCCATAACGTTTGTGCATGAAAAGGGAAGAAATAATGTGACTTACGTTGTGAATGATTATAAGAAGACCACTGAACAAATTGGCTAGCCCCAAGGCCAAAACGTTGACTGCAAGCAAAGACAGTATTAATATGAAGTGAGATGTATGAAAAAAAAAAAAAATCTTCATGTCACTGTTTTGTATGTTTTATGAGTTAATGTGTTACTTACGAGTGGAAGTTCCAGATGCAGCAGCGGAGGATACAACACCAAAGCTGGTGATAGACTCGATTAGACCTCCGTATACAATACTCTTCAAGATGTCTAAGCAGTCTAGCTTTATTGGTGGTAATAAGTTTATTATTGATGAAACCTTTGAGGTATTATTGTTACCCTCTTTGTTAGGAGAATCTTCCTTTTGACTTCCTAAAATAGACAGAGCCAATAAAAATCTAGTCAACATTCCGGAACAGAATGGCAATAGTGATATGGAAATGGAATAATACCATTGTTATCTAGCATGGAACGCCAGAGCACAGCCAGAATGGCTAGGAACAGCCATAAGATAATGGGAAGGTAAATGTTACTCAATAAATTTGTGAGCCAGGGAAAGGGGACGTCTGATCCTCCATTATCTCCTTTGTCCTCACTCTTTTGAACATTTACTCCTGAACTTGGTTGAACATTAGTCTGTGTACTTGAACTTCCATGCTTAGCTGGATGCGGTGATGGTGATGGTGATGGTGGTGGTGGTGCTGGCCGATAAGGCAGGGTCCGAAGAAGAATGATTGATAGCAATAGTAGAATCAAAACCAATAGGAACCGCTGAGAAGTGGTAGTGAGCCTTGGCCAAACCTGGTTTGGCAAAAGTTTCTTTAGTATATTTTCTGGCAGTACTGTAGGGAAGGTGTTACTACTATCCGGTTTTGGAGCAGGTGTGTCTGTTCATAGAATCAAGAATCAGTCAGTCAAATTTTTGAGCAATAGAACTTTCTTCATTGGAAGCAATGTGAAGACGCATATATATATATATATATATATACATACCTTCAGAAAGAGGAGGTTTAGGCTGAATGGGTTTGATTTGCTCTACAAATAAAAAGAACAATACTTAAGCACCATCATCATCATCCAACATATAAATAATATGTGTATATAGGCGTACCTTCAGCAGAAAAAAGAGGTTCAGGCTTGTTGTCTTTGGCTGGCTCTACAAATCAAGAAACAATACTTGAGTACCATCATCCAACACACACCTATATATATATTTGATATGTGTGTCTCTACATACATACCTTCACGAGGAAGAGGCTTTTTGACTTGATCTACAAATTATCAAGAAACATTACTTGAGTACCATCATCCAACACACATGTATATATATATATTTACATTTGATATGTCTGTATACACATACCTTCACGAGGAAGAGGCTTTTTGACTTGCTCTACAAATTATCAAGAAACAATACTTGAGCACCATCATCATCATCATCATCCAACATATATATATAGAATGTCTGTAGTTTATAAATGCATACCTTGGGTGGTGTTATACAACCAGGGGAGGTAAATGAAAGGGAACTTGAAGGAGAAAACGATAACGAATACGAATCTCTCGTTGTTGTACGGAAAAGTCTCTTGTCCCTTTACAAATTGTTTAGTAGTTCCGGTGATGTTGTGAGTGCAGTTTGGACAGTAGAGATCATGATCAGTCTTTTGCATTTGTATGTCCTTGGCCACATCCTCAGGATTCTGAGTCTTTCTCGAACTTTGCTTGTCGTCTTCACTGCTCATTTCTTTTGTTGTATCGGTTCCTACGGCACGTTTTAACATAATTTGACTCAAGAAAATATGACTTTGATGATTCAAATAATTTAGAAGAATAATATAATACATATAGTTTTATTGGTTCTTCAGGTGTATATATATCAAATCTCCCTCCAAACCAAATTACCAAGTAACTCTGAAAAATACTACTCGTCAAATATGAATCTACTGCCATGTATGCAAAAGCGATATCAGTATGGGTTAAACCTTACTAACTAATGCATGATTTTGCACATGCATGGTTCACTATATCGACGTAGTTAAATTCAAATAAACATTACTCCCTCTGATTCAGAATATTTGTTATTCTAGGTTTACTTTTTTTGGTCACAAATTAAGTATCGTTTTAAAGTTTCGAGTCAAAATTTATTAGTTTTATATAATATTTTATTTTCCTATTGGTTGAAAAGTGGTTTATTAGTTTTATATAATATTTTATTTTCCTATTGGTTGAAAAGTGGTTAGTGTATAGGTAATTGTGTTTTTATCTTAAAAATATGTAAAATTAAATGTTTACTTAATCTGTGTGAAAAAAATTTTTTTTTTTTTTTATAACACTGATAGAGGTACATAGTTCGATAAAATAAACAAAAGTGAGTAAAATAATGAAGAGGAAATGAGATGTCAGTAGACACCATCACATGAGACAGAAACGGGGTAACCCAATCCCTCACTTACTGAAAAAAATTAGAATGACAACTAAATTGAAATGGATGAAGCATTGAATTTCGTAATAAATATACAGAACAAATATATATACCTAAAATATTGAAACAACTTAAGAAATGAATCCAAAACGTTTTTTGACTAATTAAACCTGTTCCCATACCGGACTGCATTTCTTTGCTATTTTCTGTCACTTGCGGGGGAGAAACATCGGTTTGGTTAGTTACTTCATCCGCCGGGGGGTGATCAACATTTTCATTGCCTGCCTGATTCGAAAGCTGGGTGATGTAATCACCCTCATGTTCTTGGGAATTGATATCGGTTGGATCCATTTGATGTCTGTGGTGAGTTGATGACAAAGGAGGAACCGGAGGACACTTATTTATATGCTCACGAGTTGCTTCCTATGTCATAATTTTTTTAGTATATTTGATGTATTATATCTCTATCATGTAGTTTTTCATAGTCGTATTCTTTTAATTTATAGTGAGGTCAAACAAAGACCCCGAATTGAAAAAATATATAATGACCGAAGTTTAGTCTTAAAAATAATGACCAATGATATGTATATTTTTCAGCTAATGATAAAAGTATCCATTCACAAGAAATTTAACATTCAAAATATTTTAAAGCATTGGAATATATAGATATATAATATAGTTACATAATAAATTGTTTCTTTTCATTACAATTACTCAATAATTAAATGGTAGTTCATTATAGAAACAATTTTACAAAAAGACAGTATAGAAACCAAAAAAACGTCCCGCACGAGGGTCTATACTTTGCATTTGGAACTCGAGAGTTTTATTTGCACAATGTATGGTGCGGTTTACCGGTAAAAAATGCATGGTGGTCACACAACATGTAATTCCTTTTCTTTGTTACGGATCAAATGATTTGGTTAATATGTAGTTTCAGTAGAGAATGAGTTACAGATAGTAGTTTAGAAGAATTATTCCCTAATTTTTTCGTTTGGTTTTTAAACCACCCACTATAAGAATAGTCAAGCAGATTGCTTCGCTCGTAATGCTCATACTAATTATTATAAAAAAATGCTCATACTAGACATCAAACTCCCGTAAGCACTTGTCTTTTTAGGTTATTTGTTGTTGACTTGTTCAACATTTAACAGTAGTGTGTTTTAAGGAAGGTCTTTTTGTTTATTAATCCCTAATACTGAGTGACATATACCTTATATTAATTGACCCAATATTAATTGACCTAAAACTGTAATAAGTACTTGTCTATTGCAATTTCGTTTTTATTCATCGTTCAAGGATTTTTCATTGTATATGACTTGTATTTTCTGTTGTGGCTTATGGAAGTAGCGAAATAAAATTTTGAACTTGAGCCATCAGGATGTTAAACAAAGTATTTCGAATCTGAATGTTTTATTTTGGTTTTGAGATGAAGTGATAATCTTATTATTCTTGCCTAGACATAATCCCCTGATTATATACTTGTTTAAAAATGATCATAAAGCCTCAAATCTTGCTTTTTTGCATGTTTGTAATAAGTATTTACGAAATAAAACTAACTTAGGACCTCTTAAGCATTCACTTGCACTCTTCTAAAATAATGACAAAGTCTTTCTTTAATCAAATGACCGCAGGTCATGGTAACTGCATATGCAAATGCTTTAAGATTAGTACAAGACGTGATCAAATCCCATCGGGTCTTTTATACTATCGTTGTTTTGTTTGTGTATTTTTGACCCTGCATATCCGGGGTTGACAGAATGGCCGTTATAACTTCTAGCTAGCTTTGCCAAACTTTGCCTCTGGAGACTTCCCTATACCTTGTGATTCTGCAAACTCCTCAGGTAGAAAACGGAAGAAAAATGAAACTAAACTGAAAAAAAACTAGTTAACATAGATTACAGGTTTATAGATATTGTGTATATTATTAAGAATATGCAAATATGAAGTGGAGCTGATTCAAGACTTGTTCAGAATTCATAACTATCTATCATTTAATGTTGACCACATATTACACTATCGCAGCCTATACGCAATAAAGGCTCGACATGAAATTTAAAAAGATCCAACGTTAAGAAAATCGTTTGTAGGACCCGATTCTCGTGAATAATAAGCGCCACAACTCACAAGCACAAGGAGCGTTTTGTTTATTTTTTCTTCTACGTTACATCTTTTCCCCTATCTCTTTTTTTTCCTTAAATAAAATACACAAATCCTAATCACATTATTCATCATCTCTTCTTATTTTTCAATCTGTTCATCATAATTCAAAAAAGAAAAAAATTCACCATTTCTCATCTATTTAAATCCCAACCCATTTTTACATATAACGTCAAAGCAAGTTTACATTCTTTTTAGCAAAAGTATATTAAAAAGGCTTATACTAGAAATAAGCGATGGAAAATGAGTTTGATGATCAAGAACGGTTCTGTGAGACTCCTAAGCTTCCTCTATTCTCGATTCCATTAAACAGAGCATATGAGACTCCTGGCCTAGCGACGCCGCCTGTGAACATCGCCGGATCAGTCCCATTTCTTTGGGAAGAAGCTCCAGGAAAGCCTCGCGTTTCCGATGAAAACAAACCTCCAACGTCAAAGCAGAACACCGGAGGAAGAGGAGGAGTCATGAGGTGTCTTGAGCTTCCGCCGAGGCTGATTTCGCCAGTAACTGTGAATGAGCCATCGCCGACCACAGTTCTTGATGGTCCTTACGTTATACCTCGCCGGTCTCTGTCAGTGATATGGAGAAGCGAAAAACAATCAGAGTGTAGGTCCATTTCTTCACGTTCCACGAACGGTAGCTGCTGCGATGGTGGCGGCACAACGGTGAAGATGAGTAGAGTTAGAAGAAAAGGAAGCCTTCTGAATCTTTCTCAATCCAAACCGGATTTCTTGGTGAGTTAGTTAACTGTTATACCCTTTTTGGGTCGTGAAATAACTAATATTTTTGGTCCATTATGATTGCATTCATAATTTTTTTAAAAAAACGCAGGCAAGGGTTTACAAAGGGTTTAAGCAAGTGATTCCATGGAGGCGTAGGCAAGAGAATCTTCCAAGGATGAGTTCTTCCAATATTTAGAAAGAAATCTTCTCTAGTTTAGAAACTAAGATTCCTCTCTGTATATACACATAATTAACAAATAATATCAATTTTAATTTTTTTTCTAAAATATAGTGATATAATCAAATTATGATACATAATGGTGATGAGACGACACAATGCCTTGGACCTTGACAAACTCACTATGATGTCAAGCCTTATACAAATCCCACAAAACACAGCAAAACCATAATGCTTTGATGAGCTCATGAGGGGTCTGGAGGTTTGAAAGAAACATTTGAGGGTCGTATGATACATGTATATATATTTCCTTTTAAAATGGTGTATGAGGATGCATGATACATACATTATTAGCAACCAAATTTGGGGACCACGAAGAATATTTCCTCTTCGTGTCTTCGAGGACCGACCATGGATAAGCCCATCCAGTGACAATTTGCTGTTGAGGGTTCCAGTTTTGTAAATGGTGTGGTAACCCTCTGTTCGATACAGAAGTATCTTCTGATTTTTTTTTTTGCAAATGGTGTGATAGCCCTCGTACTTAATATACCTGTAAATGAAAAATATATTATGATTCAGTTAACTATGAAATTTATAAATTACAAATTAATCGGGTGGAAACGCATGGCTCATGCAACAGTTGGTGGTTCTAAGTTTTTGCGCCCTAGGCTTAAGTTTTTTTTTTTTTTTACTGAAATTTTAGGCTTAAGTTGACATACTTTTATCATATCATACGAACCTTCTTGACAATTTCTTTAGGCATATATATCATATTATCATTATGGGTTAATTAGGTAGAGTTAGCATATTTACGATGATTTATAGTGTTAAAGCATAATCTTATCATCGCGTTACTTTGAAAATCTATTATATTAAAAGAGAAAAATCTATTATATTAAAAGAGAAATCATAACTCACTTCATGTGTGTTATTTTAATTTAGACCGTCTTTAGAGTTTTATAAAAATTTGAATAACATTATAATATCGTTTCATATCCTTAATTTTTGTTTGAAATACAAATAAATAGTTTTAAGAAAATTCTAACAAAATCTTTTAAAAATCTTTTAGAATCTTTTTCAAGATATAGTTTCAAAAATTATTTGATTAAAATTTTAATTATCATAAAATATAATTATCATAAAATATAATTAAAATTTTAATTCATTTTTAATTTATAAACAAAAATTAAAATTATGTAAACTACTTTTAACAATATCCCAAAATTTTGTTTTTGTATTATGTAGGTCCAACTTAATTAATTTTACATAGATTTCAAATTTAGAAATAAAAAAAAAATATAAATTAGTAATCTTACATAATAATGTTTTTAAAAATTATTACAAAAATACAAATTTATAAATTTTATATTAATAATATTATAAGTAACATAAAAATGATTATGAAGTTGGATAGCATAAATAATCAAATTATACTTATTTAATGATAAATTTTATTATATAATTTCAAATATTTTCGTATCAAAATACCCACACGGTTGTGCGGGTCGAAATCTAGTAAAGCACTAAAACTTTAATTATTTGTTGTACCATAGAATGGCTGTTAAAGTTTGGCTATACATTTTTTTTGACATCAGTTTTTTATTTTTTTACATCAGTTTGCCTATATATAAGTTATAACTATATGACAACTAATGGTATACAAATAATCAGAAAAAGTAATCATCAAAAGCTTCCAAACAAATCTAGACAATTAAACAAAACTTTTGCATGAATATTAAGGAGAGCACAACAAAAAAAATAGTTTAGAGTTCATCATGATCAAAGTAGTCTTCATCGTCCAAGTCTTCGTGGTGAACTGCCTTGTAAAATACATCTTCGTGGTTCAACATCTCTTCCAGTGATAGTTTACCATCTTTATCTTCATCCGCCTTATTAAAACCAATAACAAATTTTTTATTTGATATTTTCTTTGTTAAAGTATAAAAAATTAATGTATTTTGGTGAACAAACAAGAGTCTCACCTCGTGGCAAAGGAAAGTAGAGTAGTATTTGGCGTAACTCAGCTCACCAGGTTGAAGATAATGCAAAATGGGTCGAAGCTCATCGGCCACGAGGAACCTGTCTTTGTCTTTGTCAAGCTCTGCGAACAGAAGCTGACCTGTTGGCACACTCTCATCTTCATCCATCTCGAACTTTGCAAACTCTTTGTACATTTCGTATGCGTTCTGTTTAAACTCTTTGTACTCTAGCTTCCCATCACCGTTCGTGTCCATGCCCCTATTATATATTAAGCAACACGTCCCACGTCACTTATTCTAAGCTTCATGCAATAGAGAAGTATATTTCACAAAATGTTCTTACGTCATTCGTTCTCGTAGAACCCATCTTTGGACATCTCCGTTTCTGCTGTCTTCAGGGTGCAAGAAACTGCAAATATTCTTTGAGTTATTTTTGGAATATTGTATGTGAAGCAATGAGATATTTCAGAATGTTATTTACTTGTTGAACTCTTCAATGTCGAGGGAACCATTATGATCAAAATCAGCATTCTTGAACTGTTCCATCCACCAACCAGCTCCACCGTGACTCTTCTCATTTTTCTCTGTTTTCATTTATTCTTTGTATGTTTAAGAAGAAAGATCCAGGAATGTGTTTAGTTAATTAAATACAAGTTAGTTTATTACCAATGTCTTCTCTAGAGAATTGAGGCAAGTACTCTTCAAAAGTTATGACACCATCCTTGTTTTTATCTTGCAACTCAAGCTCGTTGGCGGTTCTGTAACCCATGTTGTCTTCCGTCTGCTGCATCATCCATGTCTGAAGCTCTTTCAAGCTCACGAACCCATCTCTCGGTGCACCGTCAAGCAGAGGAAACAAGAATTTGATCCTCATTGTCGTGTTTAGCCTCCTCTCTTGCGCAAAATACTCATCAAACATATCATCCTTCTCCTCCTCCTTCACAGCCTCAACGGTGTTTGATTCTTTCTCATGAGACAACCTCTCGATTCGGGTCACAAGAGGGTCAAACACTGGCATTTCAAGCCTGCGTCCGAGGCGGCGGGTTATGAGAGCCTCAACGGATTGAGCCTCGTTGTGATTACAAGGAGTAAGGAAGAGGAGGACGCCAATGATGAAGATGGTGGTGAGTAACGTGTAAACCACCACCTTGGCCATCTTCCGGTAGCTCAAGGAGGGGTTCTATGGAGAGACAGAGGATGAAAGGGGCGGGCCACGAAGTTTTGCTAATTTTGATTTCTTATTTGCTTTATTGTGAGGTTAAAGCCATAATTCTCATCGGCCATTGATTGCTAACCATTATTACCGCCAATATCGGTTATCCAAATAATGACAAAAACAAAAAGAAACCCTCTCTTTATATAGCAAACCAATAAAAACCGGCTACGATATGTGTTTCTTAAACCTGAGGGAACAAAAGATTGTTGTAATAAAAGGACAAGACTTTGAAACATCCAGGCGAGTTACTGTTGGAAACGAAATAGTAGAGATGAGAGATGAAATTTAAAGAAAAGCTTTCTTACTAAGTAACTTCATCATATACACTGCAGAAGTAGAGAAGAGACGGCAGGCATCTCTGTGGTTAGTCTTTGTTTCTAGTCTGTCTGCTTTGCAGAGTCTCGGAGCCAGGGCCAGTCTGATTCACAGAGATCGAGAGGGGAGTTTCCGTCATCATCTTTCGAGGCTGTGTTAGCTTTCTGCTTCACCAGGAACTCGGCGATGGCTTCTCTGTCGCAGACAACAGCGTAATGCAAGGGGGTTTGGCCTTCGTTGTCCTGTTCAACAGAATCACCAATTAACATGTGCATAAAGATGTTGCATATAATTAGGGTGGGGAGTTCTCTTTCTTCACCTTAGCATTCACATCGGCCTTCTTATCGACCAGAAGTTTAGCAATCTCGAGGTGGCCACGGTCTATAGCCCAGTGCAAGGGTGTGCGACCTTCACTGTCTGCAGTTTACGAAAAAATTAGAATGCAAATCCAACATGAAGAGAACGAAGTTCCTCAAAAAATGGAATATATAAAACAGAGACTAACCCCTTGCATTAACTTGAATGCCGCTTTCAATGCTTTTAAGCAAATTCTCGACTTCTCCTTCTCTAGCAAATTCGTGGATGGCATCAATCTTCCTGAGATACAAAACAAAAGAGAAACGTATGGAGTAGAAGATTAATGTTCCATTCAGTTAGACAGGGAAAAAAAAAGGTTCCAAGTTCCATGAGCTCGTCAAGGATAATACTAGCCGGTTCACTTACAGAAGTTGTTACAGCTAGCAGGAAGCGTGCTAAGCTACCACTCTAATTAAGTTTTCATGGAACCTTTGATGTGAAAATTACAATCTGATCTAGACACTCAGCAATCAAGTAATAGACCTCAACAAGTAAGTAAGAACTAATGAGAATACAAGAGCGGAGAACCTTACAACTCATTTTGGGATTCCTCTTCATAAACCAACGAGCTAAAAACTGGCCCCATGGTTCCTCCTGTGTTGGAGACTGCCTCATCCTTACTTCCACTCCCCGCTTTCTGGTACGTCACATAACAAAGCCAACAGAAAAAAATCACATGAGTCGTCCAGAGGAAACAGCGAGGCAAGAAAATAAACAAGGTAAAAAAAAAGGTTTTGTACCACGCCACCGTCTAACCAAGTCGGGTAGAGCTGAGTAACAATCTCAATATACTTCTCCATCGCTTCTTCAGGAGGCATAGCCCCCAGTTTCTGCCACGCTTGCCTGATAGACAACAAGATCAATAGAAACTCCCAATCAATCAGTCTCACAAGAATGCAACCACATCATCTCCAGCATAAAGGCAAAGAAGCTAACTAAGTTGATATCAAGAAACACTCAATAACACAATTCCTCCTTGATAATCTCAATTACAACTAACACTTCCTTCCTCAAATTGATATGTACAAGCAGAGAGATACAGAGAGAGGCGATACCACTTGGCACGAGCAGTGATTTTGAGAGCAGAAGGCTGAGGAGCAGTACAAGGCCCTTCCGTAGCGATCTTATACAATCCATAAAGCTGCTGCTGAACATCGCTAGGCACCTTCTGCGAGAGCCGATCCGATGCGGCTGTAGTCACAAACAGAGTCGCAGCGCTGAACGCCTCGTCTAGTTCCGTGCTCTCAACGCCTTCCCAATCATCGTCGTCTTCTTCTTCTTCCACTTCTTCCTCGCTGTCACCACCGACGCTATCTCCTCTCGAGCTACCTTGCTCCGCGATGACCGAGTCTGCCTCGCCGGTGGAAGATTCGATTCGGCCGCGCGAGTCAACCTCCGGTTTAAGATTCAATTCCGGTTCGGGATCGTGGTGGCGAGTGAGGGAGAGGTTGTCTTCTTTAAACGTGACGACGATCGAGATTAGTTTAGCTAATAGGTAAGAGAAGATTAAACCTAAGATCACAGACTGAGCAAGCTGAGCCCAATCACCCATTTTTTTTGTGTGAATATTAAAACCCTAGAAATTGAAAACAGAGGAGGAGGAGGAAGAAGGAAACCCTAGGGATCTGGAGAGACAAAAAGGAACAAACTCTGATTCATTAAACCAACAAAATCAAATATAAAGACTAGTTCCTTTTTCTTTTTCTAGTGTTAAGACTTTTTTTTTTTTTAAGATGACAGAACAAAAAAAACACTTGGCGATGAGTGACGACAGATCACAAAAGCGTCTAAACTGGTGACGAAGCGTACGTGTTGTGTGCGCCCTAAATCTTTACCTGACCTAACCAACTAGAAATATTGAATTCAATTTCAAGCGTATAACTTTCTGGTGGTAGAAGACGTGCATGGTGTGGATGATTTAAAGGCTTGAATCATACGACACGTTAAGTGAAATTGTATCCATATGCATAAGAAAAGCTAGTCCACAAACTTGAACGCATTAGATTCACGTGGGAGTGGGCACGAAAATGAAATCCAAGTCTTATCTTTTTTCCCTTTTCTATGTCTCTACAAGGGAAGATAAAACTTTTACACAATATTAAATAGTTCCACTTCCAAACGTTGCTTGCTTAGATGAGCATCTCATGGAGAGAGACCAACTCATGGGTTAGTGAGAATATCACTTTCATGGAATACTCATTTAAGCAAGAAACATTTGAAAAGCGGAAGGGAGACTATTTCACTTTTGTCAATGAGAGTAAGAGAGATTGCCTTTCACTGGTATAAATACATGAGCCAACGTGAGGAAACTACCCACCAGACCATACTACTGAATATCTTTTGACTCAGATACACTTGAAGAAGACTTACAAGTAAGCCCTGGAATGGCAGCTCAAGCATGCCTTTTTTAACCAACAGTCAAACATTCTCACACCCATCCTTGTCCTTTTCTCAAGCAAACCACATGCCTCAGGGGGTATTCAGTCCCCAGTGTATAGTAGATTAAAAGAAACAAAAGAAAAAAAAAGATGCTATTTCTCAATACTTACCCTTTGGTTTTTAAGGGGACATTCAAACCTGTGAAATTTTGTTTTTTAAAGACTATTCTTCTTGTGCTCCATAACGGCATTGGACATTTTCCCCTTCTATGAGCTTCTCAACTGCATCGAGAGGAAGACCCACCATCTCTAATGTCTTTTCCCACACTCTCTGTGCAGTTTCTGTGTTGTGTGCTTCTTCTGAAGGATTTGCCGGACGGCAATCTTGAGAGATGAATGGACAAACAGGCCAATCATCGTTCTTTAGCGTTTCCCAGTACTCTGGAATCTGAGGGTCTGTGGCCGAGAAGAGAGTACTTCTACAACCTTCTTGGGGTGAAAATATGAAATAAGGTATCAAGGCGTACAGAAACTGAAGAAACCTGGGTAGATCCCTGGCCTATAAAAATACAGAAGAAGGCAATTATAGGCATATGAAGTTCCAAGAAAACAGAACGGGTGTAAATCATTTGTTAGGACACTCACAACATTTGTTAGGACAACACCAGGGGATATACATATGACGCTAACTCCTGTTTCCAGAGGCAGCTTTTTGAAAAGAACGCTACTAAACATGATCTGGAAAACAAAGGGAACCAGAAAATAAGTCACCAGTTTCTGAAAAAAGGAAAAAAAAAATAACGTTGCAGATGGAAAAACTAATACCATTTTTGTATGCTTACCTCTGCAAGCTTGCTGCCCGAGTATCCTACAACGCTTGAATACTTACGGCTACCAGAAACAACATTCATGTCATCCGGGTCAACAAAACCAACACTATGCATCTACAAAAGTGAGTCCCACAAACCCATTATCTTGCATGAAAAAATAATAACCAATTCATACAAACAGGCATTCCACAGAGTTTCACTCAAATAAGTAATGATGAATGCAGGGGAACAAGACTCTATTGATATTGTAATATGCATTATGCATATGTAGTTCAACGATATTTGGAGACAATCTATATAATTCATATCAAAATAGCGTAGAAGAGAAGACACACTTGGCGCCTGCAGTGTTAGTGATAATATAACTTACCACAGAATTCACATTAATGATTCGGCTTGGAGAACCTCGGATCAGAGACGGCAAAAGAAGTACTGAAAGAAGCGATGGAGCTAAATGATTAACTTGCATGTGCTGCTCGTATCCATCCTTTGATAATTTTTGCGCCTCTGCATATATTAGGGGGCATACCAATTTTAAAAAAAATACAACAGACAGAGTTTTAAAAAGGGGCAATAATAGTAGACTTGCTATAAATAGCCATCTCACTTCTAATTAGTAAGATTTAACGTTTACAGTCAATGCTATACATGTCAGTGCTGACTAATAGCATCCACCATGTTGGAACTTGATGATGATGAATGATTGACAAGTATGACTATGAAATTTTCTTAGCGTAGCAAACAGATGATTAAAGTTAAAGATGGAAAGCAACGGAGAATAAAAATCAACGCTATACAGCTTAAAGAGCAATAAAACCAACCTCCCATAGCAAAAATGCCAGCATTGTTAATCAGAACATGCAACGGTCCTAAACGAGCGTTCCAAGCATCGGCAAATCTCGCGACAGAATCCAGTGAAAGAAGATCAAGTTCCATTGCCTTTACAAAAGCAAAACAGAGTATCATCATCATTATCATCAGCTATCTAGATTTAACAAACCAATACTCTTGTGATTCTTGTCTAGAAACTGGATTAGTCCCAGCCTAAGTAGATCACATATGGATTGAAGTTTCTATTGTACACATCCTTGACTATTTTCAGTCACAGCAATACACATTATTAGCCACAAAATATGTTACATCAAACATTATTATAAAAAAGTTAGCAAATAATACCTCGATATTAAGTGGGAGACCTTTCCCAGACCACTCGTTCTGCCATTGCTGAATCAGCTCCTGAGCTGCCTTTGTGTTCCTCACAGCCATCACAACATGAGCACCCGCCTCTGCAAGCTGCCTGCGAACAAACAAGCAAGAGATCTAAAAATCTTACGAGGAACTTTTCAGCGATTCAAAGAGTCTCAAAACTAAAGAAACTTTGAAGTGGAATCAGCAATCCTCAAACTCGCAATTGATAGCGAATCGGAAATCAAATGGACTTAAGAGTCAGAGGAAGAGAGAGAAACCTAGCGGTCTCACGGCCAATGCCGCTGGTGGAGCCAGTGACGATGCAAGTGAGGTCGTTGACGGGAGGAAGAGGGAGAGGGTTTTGCAAATGAGAGGCTGTGATCCTCTGGAACAGAATCTCCCCGAAAACGCTGCTCCATCCTCTCATCCACTCCATCCATCCCAAACTCTTCTTCTTCTTAGCCAGAGCCGGAGCCTTAGACGACGCCGTTTCGCCACTCATCTTCTTCTTCTTCTTCTTCCTCTTCCTCGGGAGTTAGATCTATGACGTTGGTTATACACAGCGAGAAAAGACAAAGAGTGTATTTCCGTCAAAATCTAGGCCTTCATTAAAAATGGGATTATTATGGGCCGGCAAAGATTTTATGACCCACACTTTGAGTAACGTTATATGATCTTTTATTTATTTATTTTGTAAGCGAGAATGACATCAGTAGGTTGAAATTGAGATATTGAGTGCATGTAATTAAAATGGTGAAAGAATGAAAGAGGAATATGAATTAGAGGCTAATACAAGAATTCCTCCAAACTTAAGAAGAGTAATAGTCAGGAAATGATATTGAATAGGTTTTTACACATTTAAACTTTGCATTACGTAAAACAGTAAGAGAAAATCAACAAAAGGAGTTCGGACAATTAGTACAAGTCAAGAGACTCGAGCACTCTACCAGCCTGAATGTGAAGAGCAGTGATTCTTTGTGCAGGGTCACCTGTTGAACCGAATTGACTAGCCGCCCATATTAAAGAAGCTGATTTTTCACCAAGAAGGCGTCTGATGTCTTCATTAACACTCGCTATGGGAGATCTGTCTTTCCCATTGACATGCCCAACTAACAGTAGTAAGAACTCTCCGCATCTTAACCTGTGATTCAGTAACAACTAAAGCATGACCGAGATTCCAAAACAAACGAAACTTTTGTCACGAAGTGGACAGTGTTGTTGATCCCACTACCAATGACCTTATGAGTTGGAAACTCTTGAAGATGGATGAGATTACTAAACAATGTAAAGGTTGTTCAGTTCTATGACACGGAAAACAATCTCAAATCTACTGACACCACTAAAATCAAAAGCTACGAAAAAAGAAAAGTAATCTTTGTGGACAGCAATAAAGTCGAACGCAAAATTCAATAACATACTCTAATCATATCATTCAAAATAGAAGGGACGAGACGAACAGCTCAATGGAAAAATGAGAGCAAAACTTGTAAATGTAATTCCACCTGAGATTTTCATCAGCTTGTTTGTCTCGCATGAGCATTGCAACCTCCTCAATCCCATTGCAGGCTCCAAAATCCTGTTTACCACAAAGTACGAAAAGGATAACATTAAACAAACATATCAAGTGAAGGCCAAAAGCCAGTTTGTTCCATTGATATGTACCCGAAACCCTTAATCAAAAACCAAGCTTGTTCTAATGCTTTTCCTTATACAGTATTTTTTATTAGAACAGAGAAGATGAATACTTACCACCTGATTTGCCGATGAATCCAATAATATTGAGATTAAGGCATCTAAGCAGGCACCTTGCTCAAGTACTCCTCGTGTTGATAATATATTCATCATTACCTATAACATATATACCAGAAACTTATCACTGCATCAACCTGATCGCTACCTATCTATTGAATAAAGTATTCAATTTCAGAGACGCAACCGAATAAAAATGATCAATGATGTCTCTCATATACCAAAAAAAGTCTCCCTCTTTGCAGACAAACTAGTACGAGAACTAATAACTATACAGATTAAGTGCAGAAGTAGTCTACTTTTCTAGAGTTCTGTTGCAGTTCTACGCATCTAACCATGTAACGGCCTACCACTTCTAATCAGATGTTAACAACAAAAGAGTCTTACGCGAACTGCGCCGTGCTTATGAGCTAAAACAGTGCTCTGAGGATGTAGAAGGCAGCATCCTTCAAGCACCCTAAGAGCAACCGCAACCTCATCATCAGTAGAAGGACTCGTTATCTTCATCGGCTCAACACTAAATATATGATCCAAGCTCGTCACTCTATCATCCTCCCCTTCTTTCAACGAATGTCGAAATAGCACCGGAACCACTGCCGAAAATCAAATTCAATTAAGATAACATCAAATCATCAATAATTTTGCAAAATTAAGATTTTATCAGACGTTGGAGATCGGAGATGGTTTGGGTGTGAGAGAAGAGGCGAATGATGGAATCTGATTCGGCGATAGATCGGAGAGTTTTGAGGAGAGATCGAAGGCCGCGGATGCGGAGGAAGGAGAACTCGGCGCATGCGTCGCGTAAGCCTGTTCGGAGGGAGAGTGTCAGCTCTCTGTAGAGTCTCTGTGTGTTGAGTGACGTCACGAGCTCTTCGACTACCATCGTCGCCGCGTCTGGTTCCTGATCGTTCTCTGATTCCGATGGATTCGCCGGCGTCGACGACGGGCCATCGCTCCATATCGGCTTCTTCAGATACATCTCTTTCTCTGTTTCTCAGCAATCACATTGCTCAACTTTCGTTGTCAATTCGTGAAAAAACGGCGATCTGTTGGATGTGGTTGACATAAAACAGCGCGTTGTCTAAGTTAATGTTAGGTGCTTGAAGAGAAACGGCACGCAGTTCTCTTCTCCAATGGACTATCTTCATGTTACAGAGTTAGAGTACTATTATTTACAAAGGAAGGTTTGACTAACTAAATTGATAGAGAAGCCTTGAACGAAGAACACATCCATAGTCATTAAGGTATCCATAGAACACATCCATAGTCATTAAGGTATACATATATACATATTCACTTAAACACAAGAGATATAACAACATGCAGAGAGACAATGAACCGAAATATGGATGATGATGATGATGACTTGTGAAATCCATAAAGACTGGAATCGACATAGCCAGATTCTTATCTATGTACAGTTTTGAGTCAATCCAATAATGAATTCAAACATGTTTTTTTCACTACCAATCTTCTTCCTTGACAATCTTAGCCTTTTCGAATATGAACTTGCCTTCCTTGTACTTTTGTGAGGTCTCGTAGGCTCGCTCGTACTTCCAGCCCAAGGGTTCATTGCAGTCAGCACAAGATATATCAGCCACGGTGTGGAGACCCGTTAAAAGATGCCGGTCTTCTTTAGGACCAACCACAATGTTCATTGCGTGGGAGAAGAGGAAGGCTCTCCCTGTTCTTCCCTGATAATTGAGAACACTAGATTAGATATTCAACTGAAAATGGTATTTCACAAACGCCAGGAGCGTCTGTCTAACATAAAATGTTGAATTGATCTATAGCCAACAACATGTATATTCAAAAGAAAGACTAGTATTGTTGTTTATGAGTCAAAGGCTACTTCTTTTAGGCTTATATATTGTTTCCAAGGATCAGTTTCACAGCCACCAATACACAGGTAACTTGGTGGGGTATGCATTCTTGATCATTAGCATTGATCGTTCCAAATTCCAGTAGAAACGACAACGAAGTCAAGGTTTTTCCTAAAATCTCAAAGATAAGCAGAATCTCAGAGCTCCTACACCTAGTCATAGTGTGATTCTCCACTTAACTGTGTACATCACAAGGGACAGAATCAAAACAAAAGAGATGATGACGTTGATGCTCACCTGAAAAGCCTTAGAGATGATATCATCGTGAAGTCCCACATGGTTCCTGCAGTTACAGCAACTATATAGCCTTGGACCAACTGACTGAGCCATTTTATCAAACACCTTCAGGGCGTGATCACTTCCTCCAACGAAACCAAGCAAGCTCTCACCTTTTCAACAGAAATCGAGAAACAAAACAAAACCCATAAACATATCAAGATCCCACATGGAAACAAGAAAAATATAATTTCTAAAAAGACAAGAAAAGATCAAGAGAAACCTTTTAAGAATCAGAAGTTCACCAAGCTCCAAGCTTTAATGTCTGAAGAAAACCAAAAGGATAAGAAGAGTGGGGGCAGGTGTTAGCGTGCAGGATGAGAGATTCCAATTTCTACACGATAGTACCTCAAAATATTCAATAAACAAATCGTACTATTAACTAGACACAAGGAATATAAAAATACACAATAATACATTTGGTAGGGTATAAGATATTCTCGGCGAGAAAAACTACGATTCAGGTTTGACAACTAAACGGAGAAAAATCAGACGAAAAGCGGGTTCAACTTTGAGGGATCTTACTAGGGTTTAACGGAGCCAACGAGGAAGAAAGAAAATTGCGGAGAGATTTTATCTTTTAGGTTGGAGTTGGATGAAAGTTTTGATCTTTTTTTTTATCAGATCAAAGCTGTGAAGCGACTATCTTATGACTTTCTTTTTCTGGGTTTTTGCTTTTTATTACTGGGAGAAATGAAGAAAGAGTAAGCTGTGATGCGAAATGGAAATGTGAACCAACCATATATTAGTAATTTTTAATTTTTCCAATTACTTTTTTATTTTATTTTATGTATTTACAGAAACGTGTATTATTTACAACAAAATTAATTTTAACAACATGCATTCATTTAAAATTAAACACACAAGAGAGTAGTTAATTAAAACGTTTCCAAATGAATCAACAAATTGTAACTCTTACAAAACTGATAAATTGGTCTAATATTATAGAGTACTTCTATGATTTCCTATCTAGTCATTATTTAATTTATAAAAAATATATGTCGGTAACATGTGTTACTATTGATTTATCCTTTTGTGCATTTTTTATAGATAGTTAAGTTGAACGATGAATAAACTTTATGTTTTCAGGGTTGGATTGGACCAATAAGTGAGTAAAGAGGGTTTCTCACTCTACACGGATCTTCCCTCTTGAAGAGTTTTAGAAAAGACTTACTAACAACTAGTATATTCACATTCATACAACAAAAGATGTAAATATATACATATGATAATCAATTTCCTTATCTTGACTTAAGTTTCAAAGTTTCTTGGTCAACATGAGCTTTTCGATCACAAACATGCCTTCTTTATACCTCTGTTTAAGATGGAAGGTCTCCACATACTTCCAACCCAACGCCTCACCACACTTACCACACATCACATCTGCCACCACGTAGGATCCGGTTATCAATCTCCTCTGTCTTCGGTCCAATAACCACGTTCATCGCATGCGTAAACATAAACGCTGCCCCTGAAGCTCCCTATATCCATTTTTAACATATTCAGAAAAGTTTGATAGTTGGCCAAAAAAGTTGGAAAAGAAGTGAAAAATGAGAATTTTGGTACAAACAATCTTCGTAGTTTTGCTGTTACCACCGAGAGCTAGTGGATTTTCACAGTTTCTGCAGAAATACGTAGGAAGAGTTTTGCCTTCTCCCATTAATCTTGATGGATGAAAAAACTATAAATGAAATCAGAGAGTTTACAAGACTCGATGAGGGAGAAGACTAAGATAATTATTGGCTCTAATCGTTAGTCATGTGGAAATCATTGTACGTTTGACTCCTCTCTGTCGTTACTCGTTAACCACTTGCATTATTTCAGTGCCCAAATGTGTATGCTTTCCACATAATGGGCCTTTATGGGTGTATAAACGGAAGGCCCATTTGAATGTTCATTTTCATAATTCATTTATACAGAAATCTAGACTGTTGCTTGGGGGAATATTTTGTTTAGCGGCGATGATTTTGCCGGAGAAGCTACAGGAGATCACCTTCTGAGATGTGTTCTAGATATTCATAGAATGTTAAAACTCGTCTTGGCTTTTTTGATAATTAACTAATTATCAAGTCTTACCTTGAAATATCTCTAGTGACTAAAACTGCATCTCTTGTCATACTCATACCTTAACAAAACAAAACGTTTATTGTTTTAAAATGGAATGGATGTCCTTTAATGATATGTAGGCTCATCTGTGTGATCCTTGTTTAGCGGTGGATGACTGTGTCTATGTTTAACTTGCACACCCATCGGTGCAGCATTAATCTCAGCCAGGCAGTTTGAGATCTTGGTCATAGACTCATATTATATATTATATACATATACATGAAAATGCATTTAGTGTTGAATAGTTCACATGTGCATTTGCTACACCTCTTATCCTTTTGTTTCGTTTAAAATAATTTCATCTTTTTCTATGAACAGTTGAAGAATTAAAGTAGGAGACGGATATTTCGTGTAAGACACTTCGAAGTATTCAATTTAACAAAGAACAACGAAGGTAGTATTTTAAAGAAAATAAAAATATCCTAAAGAAAATGTCTTTTGTCTGGTAACTCTGGTTTCTAGCTTTAGATTTTAGGCGTACCTTAAAGTCGTCTCAAAGTGATTTCCAGCTAAACAGTGGGCACGCTATGTAGAGAGTAGGCCGTTTTCATGTTTGATCTTTTCTAAAAAAGCACATTCACTTCTTCTGATCCACACACATCACATGATCCATATCCATATTATGTCAAGTTGATAACCATACATCTATTTTTAAATCTAATCTTCATTTTTCTATGTTGTTTTCTTAAACTTATTGTGTGAACTATGCATATGTCGGTGGATTGGTCGTGAGGTATTAAGTTATACATTTTTGGGTTCATTTGTTAGTTGGGATAAAGTATTTGCTTAGTTAGTGTGTATACAAAGTCATTATTTTGGTCACAAGGTTAGGTATACGCAGTGACGTCCCATGTCACAATCGTCGTTGTTTCCACTCCGCTAATAAAAACAAGCATCTTTTGAATCTAAATGACAAGCTATTTATCGTTTTTGGTTTTAATATTAAATTCATGCTTAAGATTCACACTGTGCTTTTCTTTCCTTGTATTTATTAGCGGACAGTTCTTATCAAACCGTCGACTTACTTTTCGACGTAACATCTTTGGGACGTTGTCAAAACAAAGGTAACATCAGCTCTTTAAAGCCGTATATACTTCCTGCATTATTTCTTATGCATCTTAAAGCCCTAGAAAGTAGAAACGTTAGATTAGATTTTCATGCTAGACTAAACTTTATAATAAAATGTCATTTTTATAGATTTGTCTTGTTACACAAGTATAACTATAACTATATCATGTAAAAGACAAAACTCAAAAAACTATATTCTATAATACAAGTTAGCATATTTGGCTATTAGCTGTAATAAAAAAAAAAACTGAGATCATAATCGAGGATTTACAATGTGCTCTATATGGGACATGTTGATATAATTTATTAGCGTGACAGAGTAGCTGATACTAAGATGTATAGGACAAATAATCTAAGTTTGTGTTGATATAAAAAATTTGGAAAAAATAGATAAAATAATTATGTCTGTCTTACGTGTTCAAAGTAATTTGTATGATTTTTAGTTAAATTTGATTTATCTCCAAATCTCTTTAGGATGGATAGTAGAAAAGAACAAACACTACAAATATATATATATATATATATATATATATTTACATTTAGTTATATAAGTATATCAAATTTGAAAGTTTCAATATAGATGGGATAAGTGAATCAGGTAGTAGGGTAAGAGTGGACCTGCGAAGCTGCAATTATCAAATTGTTGCATCATTTACTTGCAACTTGTATTATATGAACACTTCCCACGAGTTGCTGTTTTTTAATTTGTCTTCTTTTTCCCGAGAACATTAATGTCTTTAGTTGAAAATCCAGATAACGACGCATTCTCTGATTGATCCAAAAGTATTCCTTTGAATTTCATATCGCAACTAGTGACGTATTTATGGGGTTTATAATCCTTAACTAAAGTTGACCATAAGGCTATAGCATGTTATAACTCTTAGGTGAACTGTCACTGATCAAGTATTCAATGCTGTATTACCATCACATCTAAATCATTAATGGTCGCAAGTCGCAAGCATATACAACACCAAAATTTCCTAAGCCTTTGTATCAATATCTTCCAGCTTAAACTTTCATGATATTAAGATCTGATCGTTTTGTTAGATGAAGCTGTGTTATAGTAAAATACAGTTGCATGGTTGGTGTGGAAGCAAATGATATGTTTAAATAGTTTGTTTTCTAGAAAACATTTGTTAAATCAGGTATATACAGATATTTATCTTTAAAAATTTAAAAGTCGCAAGTTTTGGTGCGCCCGTGCGTGGTAGCCTTAGTGACCACAACAAACTTGTGGTACGTACAGCTGGGATGGCAGTGGCACCGAACACCAAAATAATATCTGCCTCTCTTTCTTCTGGGTAAGTTATCAGCCTCTCTTTATTTTGTTGGCTCCTCTGTTTAATTTTATAACTACAAAACTATATAATATACACTTCTGAGCTGTTCTTCTCCCTTCCCACAAGCCGATGCTCTTGACCCATCACTTGTCGTTTTCCACTGATATATTCTCTTTCTTCTGCAAAGTTCATATTATACCATTTATTTATCTCTCGATCCAGTTTTTATATTAATATTTATTTCAATAATAACATGTGAGTGACAAAACAAAAAAAGAGTTTTCAGTGGAAAAGGCAGACACACGCTGAGGTAAGTGGATTGATACATCAATACAATTATTGAAGAGAATCAATAGAGTTTACACATATAAAAAGACTAGACTCAACCCTCAAAGATTCGGAACACATTAGAACTAAAAACAAGAAAACGATAATGGGAGAGATAGCTCAAGAGTTCCCGGTGGTTACAACGGACGATGACCGGTGCGTCGTACCGGAAGTTGAGCTCACTGTACCCAAAACCGATGATCCTAGCTTACCGGTTCTCACTTTCCGTATGTGGGTTCTTGGTATCGGTGCGTGCATTGTCCTCTCTTTCATTAACCAGTTTTTCTGGTACAGAACCATGCCGTTGAGCATCACCGGAATCTCAGCTCAGATCGCCGTCGTCCCTCTCGGTCATCTCATGGCGAGGGTGCTTCCTACAAGGAGGTTCTTGGAAGGTACTAGGTTCCAGTTCACGTTGAATCCAGGTGCCTTCAACGTCAAGGAACATGTTCTGATAACAATCTTTGCCAACTCCGGCGCCGGCTCCGTCTACGCCACTCATATTCTCAGTGCTATTAAGCTTTACTACAAACGCTCTCTTCCTTTCCTCCCCGCCTTTCTCGTCATGATCACCACTCAGGTTTCCACATCTTTTCCTCTGTTTCTTGAATCTTGAATTTTCAGTTTCTTGAATTCTTGAATTCTTGAATCTTAAGTTTGTTTCTGTGTTTATAGATTCTTGGATTTGGATGGGCGGGTCTATTCAGGAAACACCTAGTTGAGCCAGGAGAAATGTGGTGGCCAAGCAACCTCGTCCAAGTCTCACTCTTCGGAGCATTACACGAGAAAGAGAAGAAATCAAAAGGACACATGAGTCGGACACAGTTCTTCTTGATCGTCCTAGTAGCTAGCTTCGCTTACTACATCCTCCCCGGTTATCTCTTCACCATGTTAACATCAATCTCATGGGTCTGCTGGTTCAATCCCAGATCAATTCTAGTTAACCAACTCGGTTCAGGTGAACACGGTCTAGGTATTGGTTCCATTGGTTTTGATTGGGTCACCATTAGTGCTTACCTTGGAAGCCCTCTAGCTAGTCCCTTGTTCGCTTCTGTCAATGTAGCTATTGGCTTTGTTCTGGTCATGTATATCGTCACACCTATTTGTTATTGGCTTAACATATATGAAGCTAAGACTTTCCCTATCTTCTCTAGCCAGCTCTTCATGGCTAATGGCTCACGCTATGATGTTTTAAGCATTATTGATAGCAAGTTCCATCTAGACCGTGCGGTTTACTCTAAGACCGGTTCGATCAACATGAGCACCTTCTTTGCTGTTACTTATGGACTTGGGTTTGCTACATTGTCTGCCACTATTGTCCATGTCTTAGTCTTCAACGGAAGGTATATAGTTTTCATACTAATCATGCCAAACTCAAGAGTACTAATCTCTATGTGTTTTTAACAGTGACTTGTGGAAACAGACAAGAGGTGCGTTTCAGAAGGATAAGAAAATGGATATACACACAAGAATCATGAAGAAGAACTACAGAGAAGTTCCATTGTGGTGGTTTCTAGTGATCCTTTTACTGAATATTGCGCTCATCATGTTCATCTCTGTTCACTACAACGCCACCGTGCAGCTTCCTTGGTGGGGAGTGTTGCTCGCTTGTGCCATTGCTATCTCTTTCACTCCTTTGATCGGTGTTATAGCCGCTACTACTAACCAGGCACCAGGGTTGAACATAATAACCGAGTATGTTATTGGGTATATCTACCCGGAACGTCCTGTTGCCAACATGTGTTTTAAGGTCTATGGTTACATTAGTATGACTCAAGCTTTAACTTTCATCTCTGACTTTAAGCTCGGTCATTACATGAAGATCCCGCCTAGGTCCATGTTCATGGCTCAGGTACGTTACTAATTGGTTTTATTATTAAAAAAATAGAAACATAACTAATCACACTGGGACAAGTGCAGGTGGTGGGGACGCTTGTGGCGGTTATGGTTTACACAGGAACAGCTTGGTGGTTAATGGAAGAGATTCCTCATCTCTGTGACACATCCTTGCTTCCTTCAGACAGTCAATGGACTTGTCCCATGGACCGTGTCTTCTTTGACGCCTCTGTGATTTGGGGACTAGTGGGACCACGCAGGGTCTTTGGAGACCTTGGAGAATACTCAAGTGTCAACTGGTTCTTCCTCGTAGGTGCCATAGCTCCACTCTTGGTCTGGCTAGCAGCAAAAACATTCCCAGCTCAGACATGGATCTCCAAGATTCATATCCCTGTTCTTGTTGGAGCCACAGCAATGATGCCGCCAGCTACAGCTGTTAACTTCACTAGCTGGCTCATTGTTGCGTTTGTCTTTGGACATTTCGTTTTCAAGTATAGGAGAGAGTGGTGGAAGAAGTATAACTATGTGTTGTCAGGTGGTTTAGATGCTGGCTCGGCTTTTATGACTATACTTCTGTTTCTAGCACTTGGACGAAAGGGCATTGAAGTGCAGTGGTGGGGAAACTCTGGTGACCGTGATACATGTCCTTTAGCTTCTTGTCCGACCGCAAAAGGCGTTGTGGTCAAAGGTTGTCCTGTCTTCTAAGCTCATCAGAGAAACAGTATATAAACAAGACGGAAGCAAGCAGACAGATTATATTTTTTCTCAGAAGTGTATTTACTCTTTTAAGAACTTTGTTATAGATTTACATTAGGTACTGTTCTGTGACCAACTACAAATGCTGGTGATTCTATTTGTGTCTCCTTATAATGAACTAACAGAGCTTTAATCAATTTGGTAGAAGCAATGTCTTGTATAGAAAAAAAAAAGAAAGTAACACATTGATTGCATACAAAAATAAACTTGTCTTTGAATCTAACATCAAAAATAAATAATAGCCAAGAAAATTAAATAATTAAACTTCACTGCTATTATCTTTCTGTTCGCATTGTTGCATGCTATATTGCCTTATAAAAAACTTAAAACATTTGTTCAGAGGATCTTCTTTGTAGTTCTTTCATTAAGAGGTGTCCAATCATTTGCCTCTGCACAATCATAAAGAAGTAAACAACATGCAAGTAGAAAATGTGATGGAGCAAGTAGATAGCTCAAATGAAGATAGAGATAACATACTTGGCTTGTCAAGAATCAGCATGAGCCTTCTTTGCAGGATACTTGCAACAAAGAGGAAGAATGAGCACATTCCAAACACAACAGTCATAGAGAACGCATGCATCTTCAGAGCACAGAAAAAAACTAGTCAGTACCAAGAGACAGGTTCATGGGACAAGAAGTCACGGCTACTATATAACGAGAAAAGAAATTAAGGGGGTACTTACATTGTACAAGATAACACAGACTAAGATGTTCAGAGGAATCCGGAAAAAGTTCATGATTGTGCTTCTGGCTTCTTCAGGGATGTATTGGGATCTCATCTTCATAATGGATGGCCAAAACAGTCCTACACACACCTCAAAGATACAGAACCCAAGAAGCTGAAAGCAGCCTGAGAAAGTGATTCCTCCACCGTCTAATTGGGAAGGTGCTTCAAACGACTGAGTCACACTCATACAATTGCAAACAATGAGTCTCAGATAACAACAAGCAAAGAAGAACTCACACGAAGCTTAGTGAAACACCTACATCCATTATTACTGGAAGCAATAGTGAGGCAGCAGAAACTAGGAAGACGATCTGCATGTAGCTCTCTACTTTGGGAGATGAGCGAGCCAATAGAAGAGAAGCAAGGGAGCTACCGAGCATGGAAGCGAGCATCAACATTGCGAAAATGAAACCATGGGGAATCTCCTCACCGTTGGGGCTTAGAGCAGGAGTCCATAGGAATACAAAAGTATACATAGATCCTTCAAAGAGTGACTGGATAGCACCCAAGAGTGCAATCTTTTCATCTGATCAAAGATACACAAACTCTTTTACTTTCCAACACTCAAGAGGCAAATGTCAATAGATAGATAGAGAGAAGCAAAAAGGACTATCAACTCACCGGAGGCAATGGCGACTGCAGCGCCTCTAAACTGAGTAATCAAGTCCTTGTTATCAGAAGGATCACCACAGTTTTCTGACCATGAAGATAGAATGACAGCCATTCCAATAGCAAGAAAGCAAGCAGCAGCGTCAAATGGCGCAACAGGGCCAAGGGAGAAGGAATCCACTACCAAGTTCCCAAACAATCCAGCAATAATTGCAACAAGACCATTCCCAAAAAACACAGCCTTTGAGAATGTAAGAGACAGCCATTGCTGCTCAAAGCCCCTCTGCATACATCACAAAGATAAAAACACAATCTTTATCTATAAAGGTTTGTATATTTATAACTCTGAACATAAACCTCTGCTAACGGTTACCTTATTGTGCTCAGCAACTAGCCACGATTCAAATGATGAAAACAAGAGGGAATTAGCGATGCCTCCCAACACATGGCCCACCATCAAAACCTCATAGTGAGGAGAATGCTTGGTGATGCAGCTCAATATGTATGTAATACAATAAGTAACACACGCCCTCTTACGACCCCTGATACAGAGAGTTGTTCAGATTAGCCATTTAGTGTAAGAAAACATAATAAAAGCATCAGAGAGAGAGAGAGAGAGAGAGAAAACTCACTGTTTGTCAGCTAGAGATCCAACGATAGTACCAAACAGTATAGAGGAACCAAAACCAGCAATGAAAAGCTGTCCGATCTCTCCACTACTTAATTCATAAGTACTGTAAAGAGAGTACACATACGGACCCTGCAACCAGTCACCCGCTGCCATTCACACACACACAACAACAACAACAAAAACAGTCGTCATAACTCCAGTTGGATCATTAATGATATAAAGTTAGAAACTTTAGTTTTACCAACCAATCTCTAACTCATAGTGACAATATTGTTAACCGATCCCAACTCTTTGTTACCTTCTCTAACTAGTGAAACAATTTAAAATCAGAAAGTTCCAATGTGATATACTTTGAATACTTTGAAAGTAAAAACAAGAAAACGAATCTGAATCTCACACCAAACACAATACTTTAACGACAACGTAACTACATTTTCTAGAGATAAAAAAAAAAGAGGATCGTTTACCCATCATGAGCGAATAAACGACAACGTAATTGTTTTTGAAAGAAGTGAAAGCTGAAGAAGTGTTGATCTGATTCTTATTGTTCTTGCTAAGCTCCAAAGCCGCGACGACGATGCCTAGGACCCCGAACACCACGTAGTAGAACACCTCCATTGTCGTTTTGGACCCAGAGAAATTAAGTTTTTTTTTTATGAATAAAGAAAGTGATACTAATAACACTGGTAGCTTCTCTGAGAGTCAGATCTTTTTTTACCAGTGTACATGTCCTTTAGCTTCTTTTCCAACGGCAAAAGTCGTTGTGGTCAAAGGTTTGTCCTGTCTTTTAAGCTCATCAGAGAAATAGTATATAAACAAAGACGCAAGCAAACAGATTATTGTTTTTTTCCTCACAAGTGTATTTACTTGTTATAGATTTACATTAGGTACTGTTCTGTTTTATGACCAAATACCATTGCTGGTGATTCTATTTGTGTCTCCTTATAATGAACTGAGCTTTAAACAAAATGGTAGAAGCAATGTCTTGTATAGAAAAAGAAAAGTAACACATTGATTGCATACAAAAATAAACTTGTCTTCGAATCTAACATCAAAAATAAATAATAGCCAAGAAAATTAAATAATTAAACTTCACTGCTATCATCTTTCTGTTCGCATTGTTGCATGCTATATTGCCTTATAAAACCATAGAAGTCTTCCTCTGCCTGTCTTCATTACTGAATCCAGAATGTGCGTAATGTATAGTTTATTGATCAGATGTTGAGAGGATCTTCTTCTGTGTTTCTCTCACTAAGAGGTGTCCAATCATTTGCCTCTGCACAATCATGAAGAAGTAAACAACATGCAAGTAGAAAACGTGATAGAGTAAGTAGATAGCTCAAATGAAGATAGAGATAACATACTTGGCTTGTCAACAATCATCATGAGCCTCCTCTGTAGGATACTTGCAACAAAGAGGAAGACGGAGCACATTCCAAACATAGTAGTGATAGCGAACGCATTCACCTTCAGAGCACAGAAAGAAACTAGTCAGTACCAAGAGACAGGTTCATGGGACAAGAAGTCACAGCTACTATGGGGTACTTACATTGTACAAGACAACACAGACAAAGATGTTGAGAGGAATCCGGAAAAAGTTCATGATTGTGCTTCTGGCTTCCTCAGGGATGTATTGGGATCTCATCTTCATTATGGATGGCCAAAACAGTCCTACACATGCCTCAAAGATACAGAACCCAAGAAGCTGAAAGCAGCCTGCGAAAGTGATTCCTCCACCCTTTACTTGGGAAGGTGCTACAACTGACTGAGTCACACACATACAATTGCGAACAATGAGTCACAGAATAGAACAACAAAGAAGAATTCACACGAAGCTTTTTTAAGACACTTACAGCCATTATAATTGGAAGCAATAGTGAGGCAGCAGAAACTAGGAAAACTATCTGCATGTAGCTCTCTACTCTGGGAGCTGAGCGAGCCAATAGACGAGAAGCAAGGGAACTGCCGAGCATAGAAGCAAGCATAAACGTTGCAAAAATGAAACCATGGGGAATCTCCTCATCGTTGGGGCTTAGAGCAGGAGTCCATAGGAAAACAAAAGTATACATAGATCCTTCAAAGAGTGACTGGATGGCACCCAATAGTGCAATCTTTTCATCTGATCAAAGACACAAAAATCATCAACCATTCTTCAGGACTCAAAGAGGATATGTCAATAGATAGAGAGATAAGCAAAAAAGGAATTTCAACTCACCAGATGCAATGGCCACTGCAGCGCCTCTAAACTGAGTAATCAAATCCTTGTTTTCAGAAGGATCACCATAGTTTTCTGACCATGAAGATAGGATGACAGCCATTCCAATAGCAAGAAAGCAAGCAGCAGCGTCAAATGGCGCAACAGGGCCGAGAGAGAAGGAATGCACTAGCAAGTTCCCAAACAATCCAGCGATAATTGCAACAAGACCATTCCCAAAAAACACAGCCTTTGAGAATGTAAGAGACAGCCATTGCTGCTCAAAGCCCCTCTGAATACATCACAAAAGAAAAGAGAAAACACTATCTTTATCAATAAAAGTTGTATATTTATTGGGATAACAGCTTTAACTCAACATAAAACCTTTTGCTAACGTTTACCTTATTGTGCTCAGCAACTAGCCATGACTCAAAAGATGAAAAGAGAAGGGAAGTAGCGATGCCTCCCAACACACGGCCGACCATCAAAACCTTGTATTGAGGAGAATGCTTGGTGATGCAGCTCAATATGTAGGTAATACAGTACGTAACACACGCCCTCTTACGACCCCTGATACAGAGCATTGTTGAGATTTGCCATTTAGTGTAAGAACATAGTAAAAGCTCAATGAAAACTCTGTTTTAAAAACTTTCAGCAAACAAAAGGCTGCAGCCATTGTAAAGTTGTTTCTATATTTACACTCATTCAAAAAGAAAAAACGAACACAATAAAAGCATCAAAGAGAGAGAGAGAAAGGAAACTCACTGTTTGTCGGCTAGAGATCCAACGATAGTACCAAAGAGCATAGAGGAACCAAAACCAGCAATGAAAAGCTGTCCGATCTCTCCTTTACTGAACCCATAAGTACTATAAAGATAGTACACATATGGACCCTGCAACCAGTCACCCGCTGCCATTCACACAAACAAAACAAAACAACCATCAAAACTCCGGTTACAGATCATTAATGATATAAAGTTTGAAACTTTAGTTTTACCAACCAACTCTAACACATAAATAACATTAATGTTATAACAGATCCTAACTCTTTGTTACATTCTCTACCAAATGAAGCAATTCAAAATCATAAATCTCCAATCTTTCTATAAAAAAAAAAAACAATACTTTGAAAGTAAAAAACAACAAAACGGATCTGAATCTCCGACCAAAACACATTACTTTAACCAGATCAGATCGAAAATAGAGATAAAAAAACGAGGATCGTTACCCATCATGAGCGAGTAAACGACGAGGTAATTATTCTTGAAAGAAGTGAAAGCAGAAGAAGTATTGATCCGATCCTTATTGTTCTTGCTAAGCTCCAAGGCCGCGACCACGATGCTTAGGACACCAAACACCACGTAGTAGAACACCTCCATTGTCCTTTTAGATCCAGAGAAATTTTAAGATATTTTTGATGAGAAGAAAGTGATAACACTGCTAGCTTCTCTTGAGATCCAGATCGTTTTATACTACACTCTCACTGACGCGTAAATGGCACTACCTTTGGAGGGGTCCACGTGGAGTTTTGTACCTTTGGTGTTAATAAAATAAACACTCTCAAGTCGTAATGTTTACGATTCGGAGGTGGAGTGAGAGGACGTAGTTCACCGTATGTTAAATGCACGAAGATAAGAGAAGATGGACGTGGCGAGATCTGGACGGTGAGGTGGAGTGATCAACGGTGATAAGAGTGTCGGTGGAATGAGAACACTGAGAAATACATGTGTGATGTGTCGGTCGGGTTAAGGAGTGGGGGCTGATCCATCTTAAGCCGTCCGATGATTTTTGATCCAATGATTAGTGTTTGTCTAAGCCAATGAGAGTTACTAGTGGAAGTGGGAGGAGGGCACATGGTATCAGAAACATTTCAACGAGTTATTTGGGTTTAATCCACTGAGCTATTATGTATTGTCTGTCTATTCATAAAAAGTAAAAAGAAAAACATTGTAGCGTTTTTTTTTTTACCAACAAACAAACAAACATTTTAGTTTGCCTTTCAATGATTTGTCTATTTTACCTTCCTTTTTACTTTTTATGTAAGAACTTCTGTTTATTTACTCTCTATGTCATATTTTAAAATTTACATGTATTTTGGAATATGTTAGTGTTCGACCCAACATATTAGGACAAACTTTTTTTTTTTGAAACTGGCTTTATATTAGGACAAACTTTCTTTGTTAAAAATATCCATGTATACAGGTAGCAAAACATGTGATATGTGTAGTAGTGTTGTAGTGTACTAGTTTTTGAAGGATTATGTGTAGTAGTGTATAGTGTTCTTTTTTTACTCAATTATCAACTTTTAAGATGTGGTATAAGATTACAACCTTTTACAGATTTGAACTTTCACAGATTTAATCTTACGTTATCAAATCGAGACAATATTGTACTTTTCACTTTTATGAAAACATATTCATTCTGAATGTGAAATGAACTCTCTCTTAAACCACTAAATTCTACCATTGAAAACAAAGTTCCAAACAATTTCTAAATCATCAAATTAGGCTACCTTTTTGTTTGGTTGTTCAAAATAGCCTATCAAAATTATGCATTCTTTCAGTCAGGTTATAGTAGTGTACTAGTTCTTGGTCGAATTGCCATTTGATCTAAATTTATTTACTAAAAAAGATAGTGATGTGATCCATTATTACCTAAAGTATTAAAAATACTACTAGAATTTCACTAAATTGAGGGAAAAACTTTCATATAAAAGTGTTTGCTTAATCTACAATTTTCATTTTCTTTTGAAAGAAAATAAATAAAAAAACAGGTTAACCAAATCGAGCCGATCCAATGAAAACTAAAAACCAGACTAACCAAAATCTAACCGGTCCAATCAAAAACTCTAGCATGGCGCAATCTTAACTAGATAAGAGAAGATTATCTATCATTAGATTTTCAAAAGATAGAGAATCGAAGATGGAAATCAAGAAGAGAAAACAAGAACCACATGTTCAGATTCTTTTCTTAAACTGAGAATAAAGAAACCGCAACACATCATCTCTCTCTGTCTTTTTCTCTCTTCCATCATCTTGCAATTAAATTCTCTCATTTTCCAGAAGAAAATATCTAGAAAGAAGCTCACACCAGAGATGGCTTCACTTACTTCCATTGCTACTCCTTATCGCAGCTCCAGTTATCCATCTTCATCACAGGCCTTACGTGTGAAACCCGCTGCAAACACTCTGTTCTCTGCTGGAGTTAGATCCCCTGCAACTTCACCATCGTTTCTGACTATTCGAAGCGCTGCAACAAAACCTGACAAACCTGCAGGTATACGTGTAATGATTTTGTAATCTGCAAGTTCTGTTTAGATTATTAACCCCTTTGATCTGCTCTTCTTGGAGGGATTAGCTGAAGTCGAATGGAGACTTAAGAGAGAGCTTCTATTAGAGAAAAGGGTATGCACGCACGCACATCATGTTATTACTCAAAGATAAGATTTTGAAGATCAAAATGTAACAGAGAAGGTTGCTATTTGACCTTGTTGTTGTTAGGTGAGAGGTGTGGATGTGAAGGAAGCTCTACGGTTACAGAAAGAGAACAACTTTGTGATTCTTGATGTTAGACCAGAGGCAGAGTTCAAGGACGTGAGTAAACTTTAACTTTGTGATTCTCTGATGTGATGATCTCTTGTAGCTTACTTAATAACGGTTGTTTGGTTCTGTAGGGTCATCCTCCGGGAGCTATCAATGTGGAGATGTACAGACTGATACGGGAATGGACGCCATGGGACATAGCTCGTCGTCTTGGATTTGCTTTCTTTGGTATCTTCTCTGGCACAGAAGAGAATCCTGAGTTTATTCAAAGTACGCCAAAAGCTTTGGACCGTTTCCGCTATGACATTGTTTTGTATCCACCAGCTGAATGTTTTGTTTGTGTGACAATGTTGCAGGTGTAGAAGCTAAACTTGACAAAGAGGCAAAGATAATAGTAGCTTGTTCATCCGCAGGGACTATGAAGCCGACTCAGAATCTCCCTGAAGGCCAACAATCTAGGTAATTTCAAAATACTCTTGCAACTTTTTGTGTTTTGTTTCAATGCTCATAAGGTTAAGGTTCTTGCAGATCTCTCATAGCGGCTTATGTTCTGGTCTTGAACGGCTATAAGAATGTGTTTCACATGGAAGGTGGAATCTACACATGGAGCAAGGAAGGCCTTCCTATTGAAACTGAAGAAGACTAACAGAAGAGTTAGCCAGTTTTGTATCTCTGTCGAATTCAGGTAGCTGCATTTAGAGATTTGGCTTTTCAGAAATGTGTGTTTAAAGTTTGTAAAACTTCAGACATTACCAATGAAAGCTACCAGAATCCAGAACTTGATCAATGAGCAAACTATCCATTCTAAGTTCCAACCCAAATAACAAGTCTTAAACTAAATCTGAGTACACAAAGTCTTAGGGCTTTACACAAGACTCAAAAGTCCTTATTGTCATCAAGATGATGTGTCTTCCTTCAACCTGTATAAAGTAATCTCTTGCTGCTTGAAGTATCTGCGATCCTCTTCATCCACCAGTACAAGATTCAGATAATACTTGACGCTGAACTTGTTGTTGATGTTGCGATGCGTTGGTGTAAGATCGTACGGGGCAAGAAACAGTCTTACAGGTATCGACTCACCTGCCAAATCCTCACTCAAGTCATTCATGTTTCTTAGAAGCATCACTAGATTTCAAATGATGTATATATTACCTCTAACGGGAGTTCCATCCATCAACTCAAATTTCGCAAGTGTTTCTGTCTCCACATGAGTATTAGCACCAGCACCTGTTGATTCCCTCCTCCTAATCTCAAGATCCATATTCTTCATCTTGATCCTCACAAGCAGAAAATATATTTTGCCAAGGATAACATCTTTTAGGTGATACCTACATCCAAAGGCATTGATGACCCATTGTCATTTCTGGATCAGTAAATCAAATCCCTGACTCATTAAAACGAATTTCGTTCTTACTTGCTTTTATTGTACTCAAACTCGATGTGCAGGCAATCTTCAATCCCAACTTCCATCTGCACAATAAGGTGAGAAAATCCAATGGAATTAAGCCTCAAAATAGTGCTCTAATGATTTAACCCTTTTGATCTTGTATGAGCCTAAGACGCTCTGAGGGGAAAAGACAGAAACTATTGACATCGTGTTGAATAAGCAGGGAAAAGGAACTCAATGATGCGAGCTTCAAGAGAAAGATGTTTTAATAACATAAGTCACGAGTGATTGTAGTTAAGAGTCTAAACACTAAGAATGGAGCTAGTTGAGTTTGGTTTTATTTTTTTGGAAACGAGCCATAGCTCCTGTCTCTATTCTTATAAAGTTTCAAAGTAGGATCCTATTAGAACTCACCTTGATGCTGTTATTGATTGGAGGAGGTGGCGCATAGTTCCGAACCTATTCCACACAACACCATCAATGTCACAATAAACATATCTCGAGTGAGATTAAATAGGAAATCACCAATCACTACACAATTAGCTGTTTTTGAAACAATGACACGCAGCAAAAAGGAAGAAAATATACCATAAATTCCTGGTATTCCACGATGCTTCCGTAGCCACGAGTGACGGTTACTTTGAGAACATATCTGAAGGAACAAAGAAAGCAGTAGACTGTATCAGAAACTTTTCCCAAGGAACAAAAATGTAGCAGCCTTATGAGAAAAAGATTCATATGATATACCTTAGCCGCACATTGACACCATTGTACGTATCATATGGCATCTCGACAGTTGGAAATTCAAAAGGGTATGTCTTTTTCTCGTATATATCTCCAGGGACATCCAGTTCACGAACTGGAACAAGCAAAAACAGAATCATACAAAAATTATCTAATACGGTTGAACATGAAAAGTCATGTTGAAGTTGAACAAAAATCCTAAGTTGTACTGACCCAAGGAAGTGAAGTCATAGAAGTTTCCTCTGTCAAAGTACATTTCTGTCGAGAACACAAATGCCATCTATACGTTAGAAACCGGGGGCCTAATCTCTTAAAAGACTCTTTTGGTGGTTAGATCTAGAGGTCATGGCAATTGCAAACCTATTTGACCAAGAAGCTCAACTTTGACACCATTATGCTCCACTTTTTTCCCTTGATATGGTTCAATGCAAACCTAATAAAGATGTTACGGACAAACTAACTTAAAGCATCAACAAGCTCATAACTAGAAACAGTTGAAATTCATCTTAGAGCAAGAGACCAAGGAGTACCTTCCCGGAAAGAGTTTCTTGACTCTGGAAAAGTGGCACCAAAGCTGTTTGACCATTTTCTTTCTTCATGGGTACCTAGTGAAAGATGAAAGAGGTGAATAAGATAATCTGAAACGTGATTCTATAAGATAATGCATGCGAGTGATCCAGGCAATTATAAAAGAGAAATAAACCAGCAAAAAGGATACCTGTTTACGATTTTTGCCATCAGAAAAAGAGATTGAAATATTGCACGCGGGCTTGAAGGCTCCAAGAAGATAATTCTGAGACAATTAAACCCCAAAAAGCTATAAGCATTTACCCGTGTTACAGACGCAGCAACACTAGGCAGAAATGCAAATTTCTCACTTACCATGATCACAAGACTTGGATTCAATCACAGTAAACCTTTTCAATCCAAAAGAAAAAAAGGAACAACAAATCAGCCGCATTCCAAAATGTAATACACCCGAATGCATGCAGTTAAAAGCTAGAGCTTGATTTTACCATTCATCAGCTAAACAAAATAGAAGCAGACTCAATTTCATAAAACAAAAAAATGATAATAATCGAGTGAAAGCTGAGAAACTACTGAATCAGGTGTCATAATGCTTCAGTGAATGATTAGAACACGAAACGAAGACCCAATCGCAATAAGGCTTACCCGCCAAGTCGAAATCAAGAGTGAAGAATCCACCGATCTGATAGTGGAGAAAAAGCAGGACACAAGGGAAAATAGAGAAAAAGGAAGGCACTTTATGTTCTAGTTGACTACACAAAGCCCAGTCCACAAAGCCCAGATGCTCAAAGCTGAGATCTTTAGGCTTAAAAGAGTCTTACTTTCTGATTTAATCAAGTTCTCAGTTACATCAAAGCATACATTAACAATCATCTGAAGTGAAGTAAGAGATGACACTTAACTAAGAACATTGATCAATTTATGAGCACGAGATATTTATTAAAAAAGCATATAAGATCAAAGCCTCTTAGTTAAATGCAAAACAAGTAAATCATCCTATAAATAAGATATTACAGAACAGAGAGAAACTGTGGCAAAGCTCTAAACTTTCCCCATTTGAAACCAGAACGTTTCTGCAAAAAAATTGATCAGGAATCTTCTTCGGGATCGCGCTGCCGTGAGTCCTGAGAACCAGACTGAAGGTTAATGAACTGAGAGACAAGTAGCTTCGAGATCCCACTTATAGCTGCTTCCATCTCATCTGGTTCCCTTGAGCTTTTCAATCCACAGTACTCACCTGCTGCAACTTGTGTCTTCTTTGACGTAGCAAGAACTTTCTCCAAATCCAACTGTGATAATGGCCTAGGTACCTGACAAGTAAAATGATAGCAACTCACAAACATCAATACTCTAGATAATCTTAGTGGATGTAGTAACAACACACATTGAACGTTACTTACCGGACATGGTCTCCCTTTTCTTTCTTCCTCTAGGATCTCTCTGATAGGGAAGTAAGCTGCTTTCTTGCAGAGTTCAAAGATGTCTGATCCGGTGTAGCCTTCGCATAAACGAGCTACGTGATCATAGTCAATATCAGGTTCCACTCTTTCTCCTTTTAATGTCACTTTCAATATCTCAGCTCTCTCCTTACGGTCAGGCATTCCAATCTCAAAGGCTTGGGGAAGACGCCTCAATATTGCTTCATCAAGCTCTGATGGTCGATTAGTTGCAGCAAGAACCATTACCCTCGCATTTGCTACAATGCAATAACCATTATACTCATTTTAAAAAGAACTGTATCATGCTCTAGTCTGTATGTTAAAAGTGGGCAGAAAGGTTAAGGATTCAACTTACGATCAGTAGAGAATCCATCCCATAAAGCCATAAACTCAGTCTTCATGTTAGCCATGGCTTCATGATCAGTTGAACGGCGCTGACCAAGAAAGCTGTCCACCTCATCGATAAAAATGATAGCAGGTTGGAGTTTGTACGCCAAGCTAAACACAGCAGAAACTGAAAAAAAAAAAAAAAACAGAACAGAGAACCTCATTTATCAGAAGAAACACCATTATAAAATAGACCAAAGCAGCCAGAAAATTAAAGAGTTACAAGAAAGACACAAAAAAAATTGCCAACAACGTTCAACTCTTCCATAGAAAGACCAAACACCAAAAAGATAAACAAAAAATGTGCACTTACCAAGCTTTTGAGCATCACCAAACCACTTGCTCATCAGATTAGAAACCCTAACATTAATAAAAACAGCTCCAGACTCTTTAGCAATAGCCTTAGCAAGCATAGTCTTCCCAGTACCAGGAGGCCCATAGAGCAAGACACCCTTCTGAGGACCAAGCAGCTTCCCATAAGCAAAAAGCTCAGGCCTTTTCAACGGCAAAATCACAAGCTCATACAAGGCCTCCTTAATACTCACCAACCCTCCAATAGAACCAAACTCAACATCAATATGGTCTGGATTAATCACATCACATGCTATCACATCCTGTTTTCAACAAAACTTAGAAACAAGTTAGCATTTTTCTCACTAAACACACAACAATTAGAACCCTAAAACATATCTTTACCTCGTAAGGAGTGGTGTGGATAAGAGGACGACCTAAACGTTTGGAGATTTCCTTTTTATGCTCGAGAGCTTTTTTAGTGGCCTCACGATTAGGGTCGAGGTGTTTGAGACCCGCGAAGAGAATCAAGCAGCTGAAAGCAGCGCTCGCTGCGTAGAGTATGAGTTCTTGCAAGATCTTCGTCTCTGACGACGAGCTACCCATTTGTATTACAAAAAACCTAACCTTTTTATCAATAAACAGAGGATCTTAAATAAAGTAATTAATGAAGACATATAGATAATAATAGCTTAGAGATAGAGATTAGGGTTCTAAAAATGAAACCTTAGGATATGTTTGGAGAACACGGGTCGGCTCTTGCTCTTCTTGTGGACGAAGACAGAGAGAGTGGTGGTTCTTGAAACTATGCTTGAGGATCGGGGCGAATGAGAGGTGAAAATTACCAAAATAGCCTTTAGTAGCACCGTCGTTAATTCGTTAACCGGATAGGTCAAAAGGCCTTAATGGGCCTTATATGGGCCGTATTGATTAATTCGAGTGATTTTGGTTTGGCTTACAAGTAAAAAACAAAGATGTTTCGGGAGAAGATGAGAAAACGCAAGAAAGTTCGTATCAAATCTTCAACCTTCAAGATGTCTCCTTTTGTCATCTTTACATCCTCTCATCTCATCTCACCTCTATATATACATTACACTCACACGATCTGTGAACATATCAAGAACACACAAACTAGATTTTGGGTAAACTTCTCTCTCAGTGATAACTTTTTTGGATTGTTTAATTTTCTATACACTTTGAATAAATGGCTTCCACACTGTCATTTACATCGGCACTACGTTCACCTCTCGCTCTTTCTCCATCTTCTTACTCCCCCAAACCTACTTCGCCTTTCTCTGTCTCGTTTCCACGGATGAGCCGTGGTAAGATCAGAGCTCAAGACCACAGAGATGACTCCGTTGATGTTGTTCACCAAGGACAGAAAGGGAATCAAGGATCCAATGTTGAGAAAAGACCTCAACGGTTAGCCATGGACGTTTCTCCTTTTGGTAAGTTCAACTAAAACGAGCCTTAGCTTGTGAAACACTCAATACTCTTTTTTTTTACTGCAGAGTGAAGACAAATAACTTGTGTGACACTCGAACTAATTCTCTGTTCTTTTTTTACTAAAGACATTGCTCTGTTTTGATCTTTTACGGCAGGCTTGTTGGATCCGCTCTCGCCTATGAGGACAATGCGTCAAATGCTTGACACAATGGACAGAATGTTCGATGACGCTGCAATGATTTCTCCTAGAAACAGAGGAGTAGGAAGTGGAGTTTCCGAGATCCGTGCGCCGTGGGACATGAAAGAAGAGGACCACGAGATCAAGATGCGTTTCGACATGCCTGGTCTATCTAAAGAAGACGTGAAAGTCTCTGTGGAAGACAACGTTCTTGTGATCAAAGGAGAACAGAAGAAGGAAGACGAGAATGATTCTTGGTCAGGAAGAAGCTTTAGCTCTTATGGTACACGACTTCAGCTCCCTGATAACTGCGAGAAGGACAAGATCAAAGCTGAGCTCAAGAATGGAGTTCTGTTTATCACCATTCCGAAAACTAAAGTTGAACGCAAAGTCGTTGATGTCCAGATTCAGTGAGAATCTATCGATGCTTTCCTCTGTGTTCTTGTTCTGGAGCTGTTTGTTGTACATAATAAGCTTGCGTTTCTCTGTCTTTGTAATAACAAAGAGAAGAAGATACTATGCATGAATAAACCAACATTTGAACTGATTAAAACGAGGTTCTATATATTGGTCTTCCCAAAGTAGATATACCTTAACGAAATCAGGGTAAACTAACAAGAATAGCTCAGAAATTTGACCCATTGTTCTTTTGGGGGGGGGGGCAGAGAGTTAAGAGCTCAGATGTGAAAATAACAATGGGAGATGTTCGATCCCACTTTGTATGGTAAGGAATTGAATTGTACTCAGAGGAAGACTTTTCTTCATAATAAACTGTTTGTGGTGAACAAAGATCAATAGTACAAAGAGATCACAGCCACCTAATGGAACGTATTCAAACAAAATTTCTTAAATATCAAATATTAATATTTAATAAATATGTATAATTTAATATATTTTGAAAAACCTTGTGGGAACTCTTCACTAATCATGTTTTCACGAATCATGTCCAAAATCAAATTACAAACACACACTTCTCTAATACAAGAGATATATACACTTTGCAGAATCCAAAATCTTAATCAGGGATGTCACATTAGTCTCAGATTTGTGACCTGGGTCCTCATTTACTTTTTTTGAAAGCTATGTGATAAACAACGTGAAACTCGATCCCAACATGGTATTGACTTATTATATTATTGTACAACGTTGAAAGTTCATGGTTGAGCACTTCAGACCAATTAAAGTCAACTACAACAACGACAAAACATAGATAACAAATTGTCACAAAAAGAAAAGAAAAAAAAAACACAACCACAAAATATAAACATGCAAGAAAGTTCAAGTGATCAAGTCATCTTGTAGAACTCCATGACGTAAGAGCCAAAAACGTTGCAAATGACTTGGAAGCCTTTGAAACCAACTCTTCTTGCCAAAGACTCAAACTCTTCTTCCGTTCGCTCTCTGCCGCCGGCGGTGTGAGCCATCATGATACAGTCCAAGTGGACTACTTGTTTAGTCAACAGGCTCGAGTCTGGTGCTACAGGGACTAAGCACTCCACAACTATCACCTTCCCACCATCCGGAAGCACTTCATAGCAGTTTTTCAATAATTTCATGCAGTGTTCATCGCTCCAGTCATGGCAGACCCACTAATAATAAATTTTATATAACCAATATTAGTACAAAGATAGTCAAGATATGTGGAATTTATAATTGAGTTATAACAATCACTTGGAAGCTATATAACGTTTTCATTTGCTAACCTTAAGGAATATGGCATCTCCTCTGGGAACACTAACAAACATATCTCCTTTAACATGTTCAATACCTGCATCGATGGTCCACCAAAAACCTTGTTTATGTGAACGTTCATAAATATATATTTTACTTAGTTAAAATTGTTATAACAAAGCTGTACCAGCAAACTGCGGTGCATTCTCGATGACATGTGGGAGATCAAAATTGGTCCCTTTGATGTTTTGGTACTTGGAAACAATCATGTGAAGGGAGGCTCCAATTCCACCACCAACATCAACGACTGATGACAATCCTTCGAAGCCGTTGTAAGCCTCTAGAATCTTCTTCATCACAATGGTAGCGTGGCTCAACATTCCATTGTTAAAGACATTTGCAAATCGCTGATCTTTCCCGTGGTAAACGAAGGTTGACATACCGTATCCCTTATCGAATGGGATCCCTCCTTCAAGAACCGCATCCTTCAAATGGTACCTACATACAGTTTCACTTTAGTTGTCATTCTAGGTTTTTGCACACAGATTAAAGAAATATTTAATTTTACATATTTTCAAAATAAAAACACAATTACTTATACACCTAACCACATTTCAACCAATAGAAAAATATAATATTATATAAAACTAATAAATTTTGCCTCGAAACTCTAAAACGACACTTAATTTGTGACAAAAAAATAAGTATAGGATGACATATATTCTGAAACGGAGGGAATATTAAGTAGAAATAGTTTTTATGAAGTTAGTTTGTTAATAATTAGTGTTTTCTACTTCTTTAAAGGAAATTTTATTAGGGTTTTGCACTTACCAGCTCTCCATGAGGACCTTATCCTGGTTCAAAAGACAGTGAGTGGCAAGGGAGACACCATCATCATTATTAGTCAAGTATTTGCAGACAGTGTCAAGTCCGTAGAGACGCTCTACACCACCGTCTGGTAGTTTACGTACCGAGCAAGTCAGTATGGAGTGTGAAGCAAGCAACCGGAGGATCCGGTCAAGCATGACGTGAGCATCAGGGTTCTTGGTTGGGAGATGGGAAGCTAACTTTGAAGGAGACATCTGAGGACCAGAGAAGCCATCGTTCTTGGCCATAATCTCGAGCAAGTCGAGCTCTATGGCTGCTTTCAGAACCATGGGAAGCACGGACGCGCTGCCAAGCTGCATGGCATAGAGGCTAGCCTCCTCATCCGTGGAAATTTTTGCCATTGACCCCATAATGTTCTAAGAAGTATTTTTCTTAACTTTTTTAGGTTAATGTCTAAGAAAATGTTTGTGATATGAGAATTTAGAGTATATGACTTGTTAGTCCTTTTATATTGGAAAATGTGGGTCTTGATATAAGGAAGTTTAAAGGAAGGAACCTCTAGAATACGAACCATATTATTGCAATCGCCCAAAAGTTTGAATTCAACCCCTCTGCATAGTATACATAATATATTATATGGCTGTGTTGATCTTAATTGCAGAATTTGAAAAACCATCGTACATTGATTTCAGACCCATAAATTACAGCCACCCCACCCTTGATCCTGATTTAGAAATGTGTGTTATACTTGGGTTGTATCCCTTCCTATATATACTTTTTGTGAAAGCTGTAATCTACAATCATGCTCCTATTTGTTTGAATCTTGTTAACCAAAGATCTATAATGCATGCTACACTCAGTAACGAATGAAGTTGTTATCAATAATTAGTTACGTAGAAGTTGTTAGCTGATGTGATTGTCGGAGTCATGGATAAAGCTTGATTCGATCGGGAAACTTTGAAAAAACGAATTTGTTTCTTCTTCAACATGTAGATGAAATATTGCGACAATTCAACAAATCAAGGAAAGTACCATGAAATTTACGAAATCATGATGTGAACTCAGTTACATTTGGACGGTGTTATCCAATAGTGTTTGTGTTTCTTAATTTATTGATCATGCATGCTACTTTAGTTTAGCAGATAGTTTTTGCCTCCTGATAAGACATTGATCATATCTCTAATCATAATTTCTTTCCATCTTCTCCATGGATCCCCGTGAAGTGTGAACCTTGTAGCTTGGAATAACTTAAATAATGTATACTTTAATTAGAAAACCTTTAAGAAACCGTAAAAAGAAATTATCAAACCTAACCCACGCACTCCCAAAAAGCGACGTATTGGAAAGCCAACGAATCTTCTCCCAGCTTAGGTTCTAAAACGTTTTAGTCAATTATGCAAAAAGAAATAGAAATATATTATGTGACGAGAAGAGAATTCTACTGGTGAACGTAATCGATGGATGTGATGTCATACCAAAATTCTATTGGAAGTTGGTGCTTCATGTGCATCCTATCAAGACCGGCACTAACTACATATGTTACCGATGATACTCTGATTTTTTTGGGAAACAGACTAACATCTTTAGAATACGCAGTAACAGTATATGAATTTACGATGAAAGAACGTAGTATACAATCAGGTAAAATCATTTAAAATGCCAGAGTTCATCAACAAACAAGCTTTTGTTCAAGTGAACATGTCTACGAGGAATGAGCTAATCCTTCAAAACGTGGGGAGACATTTGACAATTGATGCTATAAAGACTTACAAAAGTATGCATCTCTTGACATTGTAGGTCTAGAAGTTTGGGATAATGTAATATACATTGAGTCCCGCCCAAGTCAAGTGGTTTAAAAACATATAAGGAAACAAATTTCGTTACACATCGAGACCTTAAGAAAGAGTAAAGTCCTCTTGACATTGATAGATTCATCTAAGATTAAATGATTTTTGTAACTAGTTTCATGAATGGCTGCCGTGATTTTTTTTTTCTTTTCTGTGTACTAAAAGTAATATGTTTTTTATTCTTGTCCATTATTTCCGGGAATCTGATAATGAGTATTTTTCTTGAGAGTATTTGTTTTTTATTAACCTTGAGAGTATTATGTACCTATGAAAAAATCCAGATTAATCTATAAAGAGTGGTGTAATCTACTGATGGAACATCTCTTCAAATATTCAAATAAATCATACACAATGTACACATATGACATATCTGCGTGGCCATGTAATAAGGGTGTAGTAGAAAGAATGTATTTGAATCCATGTTCATAAATGAAAGCTCATCTGCAAGTTGACTACGTGCAAATACGTCGTAGTATATTAACTGGATAGAAAGATCAAATATGTTTGTTTCAAAAAAAAAAAAAAAAGAAAGATCAAATATGTGGAGCGAAAGTCTGCGCATTGACTTTTCACATCATCTCTTCAGTTTTTAACAATGTATTGTATAGTATCAAACTACATAAGGATATCGTATAAACGGTGGTGGTGACATAAATTGAATATACGTGTATAGTACACGTCATATTTTTGTGTTAGGAATCATAATACAGTATGACGTACCCTGACCACTTCCTAATTATAAAGCATGAACTCTTCCTACTCTAGTTCATTTCATCACTTGACGACGGGATCTATAAATTTCCAATAAGTTCTCACGTGCATGTTTTAGTAGCTGTGGTGGAATAGCTATCGTCTATCGACACATCAATTTAGTATTAGTTTGAGTTAACCATGATAATTTTAAGACAGGCAAAACAAAATGCTGACCAAAGCATTCCATTAACCTACTATTATATATATGAAAGCCTTTGTTATAATAATTCAATTAGTTTGAGTATTATAATCGCGCATGTATATCTCAATCAGAGAACTTTAACAAATTACAATTGGTTTCCCTAATCGCTTAATGATGTGAGAGCATCCCAATACTTCAAATTCTATTGAGTTTCGCTGTGATATATATTAGAATAGAGTCCTAAAAATCTAAGGTAAAAAGGAGAATATATTTTAAAAATTTAGGTAATAGTGACTATTAATCATTTGATTTAACCTAATTGATTAAAGGTATCAAGAATCATTTCCTTCAAATCTTGCCGTCCAAAAGATCTTTTCCTATCTCCCTTCAATGATGTTTCTTCATCCCATGTCATCTTTCTAGGATAGGTACAATTACTGTTTATGATTAATTCTAATACCTTTATTTATAAAAAAAGACTACTAATTAATGGTTGTAACTCAAAAATGAAAATGATGCAATCCAACAAAAAAAAGTAAGCAAATTACAAAGACTAATGGAAAATATATTTAGGAAACAATAGAACATGTAAGTCGTCCAGAGAGTAAGACTCAAAAATTGACTACATACAAAATGGAATAGATTCATTCTATTCATTTCTCATCATATTTATTACGCAATGGTTTCATTTATAATTTGTTATGCGTATAACCTCTTTAAATTAATAATCTATAAATTGATATCTCTATAAATTAATATAATTATATAGCCCTAAATTGAATTTTTGGTTCAATGAATATCTCGATAAATTAATAATCTTTTTAAATTAATAAAAAAAATTAGTTTTGATGTAATACCAACATTATTAATTTATAGAAGTTTCACTGTATTTGTTGAATTGACAGATTACTATTACATTCCATTCAACATAAAAGGTAAAATATCTTTTTAAATTAATGGAATATCTCATTCCATATTATTTCATTCCAAATACTGATAATCCAAATACAGTCAAACCAAAACATTTTATTACAGTTTTGATAATACAATGAATCTATTCCATTCTTCTACTACATTATTCCATTCATCTTGTTCTATGAATACATCTCAGCCGCACGATCTATTGTATTCTATAAACTGAACCGAACGTGTAGTGCCGATCTGTCCGTTTTACCCCCCATTAATAAGGCTTAATAAGCCCATAATGACTTAACGGACCTAAAGCCCATTACCAATAACATTTCCGCTTAATCAGATTTCAAAATAAATAATCGCCATCATCACTGCTTCTCAAATCTCAAATTTACAACGCAACGGTCACTTTGCCGCTCTCCCCCACTCGATTAAAAAAAAAAAAAAATTCGAAATTTTAAGATGGCGATTAAGCGACTCAGAATAACCGTGGAGATTACAACAGATCGGTGTGAGACGACGGAGAGAGTAACGAGGTCGAAGAGCAGAAAGAAACTCACTAAGGAAGTGGAGAAGAAAAAAGAAGAAGAAGACGAGACAACACCTCTCAGAGGCATATTCTGTCTTAAACAGAGACAAGATATGAAGATTGTCGAGGAGAAAGAGGATTGCTTTATCCTTGATTTCGATCCTAACGATTCGTTTGACTCAGGGAAGCTCTCTTCCTCCTCTGATAGCCCAGAGAGTGATGACGATGTGGCGATCATCCATGAGAAAGGACAGGTTTGTGTGTTTTTGATTCTCTGTAAAGTTTAGGGCTTTTTCGCATTGATTACTGATTAATTTTAGGGTTTTTTTTTGTGATTTGAATTTGTTTGCTTTTTCAGGTGGCTTGTAGAGACTTCCCACATCCAAGGCATCTCTGTTTGAAATATCCTTTTAAGTCAACTAATCACCAACTTCATTGTAATAATGTAAGACAGATCTGTGTGTTTCGGATAAGAACTGATGTTTTGTAAAAAAACGTGTTTAATGATGTGTAATGTTATGTGTGTGTGTGTGTAGTGTTATTGTTATGTATGTGATGTGCCTGCGCCTTGCCCATTTTGGACACCTGTAAATTACGAATCGCATTGTGAAGCAGTGGAGGAAACTAGGTGGAAGCATTTACGGGCGCTGCACGCAAGGAAAAAGAGGATCAGTCACCTAGTTAGTTAGTGCTGTACTTTGGCTGCTCGCCTTTGTAAAAGCACCAACCAACATGTGAAAAAAAAGACTTTGGTTCTCCAATGAGAGGTGTTCAGAAAAAAAAAAAAAAAAATCTCCAATGAGATTTAAGAATATTATAAGTACCACCATATGTAATAATAACACATCTCTAGCTGAAGATTACACAATGGAATGAAGAAAAGGCACATTTTTCCTTCACCTACGCCTTTTGGTTTGTATTTTACAAATTATACATAGAAGAAACTCTTTTGTTTTTGCTCATGAAGAGATTACAAGTTATGCAAACAGAGTTTGAGATACGAAAAATAATCTTAGACCATTGTTGTGAGCTACTACAATCTACTGATCGAATCAGAGAACTCTCTGAAGACAATGAGATGGGAGAAGAAGGAGAGATAGCCAATGCGAATATCTTAGACCATTGATGTGAGCTACGAGGGAGGGTGAGGCAAGGAGAGATAGCCAATGCGAATATCTCTCAGGTCATCATTGGCACGTCGAGGAATGATTCCGGTGACGATGGACCAATGGTGTCCTCAGTCACGCATCAAATATCACTAGTGAAAGCATTGTGTAGAAATCAAATTTTCAATGGGGTTATCTGAAAGGTTGCTTATTTGTTTTTGGCAGCGGAGACTAAAGAGGAAATGAATATTCTAAAGAAGGAATGTATATTTAGAGCACCATTATCGCCGTACTTTAAGCGTTTCTTAGCTCAATTTTCATTAAAAAGAAAATCAAAAACACTTTATAATAGTAAAAACGTACCTTAATTAAGGGACACAAATAACGTTTCTTATGGACAGGTGTAGGCAAGTGAAGGAGAGAGAAGAGGTGGCTTCATCTTTCGTCGTCTGATTTTCTTTCGTGTCTTNTTAGAGCACCATTATCGCCGTACTTTAAGCGTTTCTTAGCTCAATTTTCATTAAAAAGAAAATCAAAAACACTTTATAATAGTAAAAACGTACCTTAATTAAGGGACACAAATAACGTTTCTTATGGACAGGTGTAGGCAAGTGAAGGAGAGAGAAGAGGTGGCTTCATCTTTCGTCGTCTGATTTTCTTTCGTGTCTTCATTTTTATTTCTGGGTTTTTCGCAATTCCCCATTTTCTGATCATGACGGTCGTTGACAACATCGGAGCTGGTATGGAGGCTGGCGCGATCTCACCGCCGTCTTCAGTCACCAGCCAAGGATCAGGAGACTCTACCAACGACAATCAGGGTGGTGAGATCGGATCCCACGTGGAGAGATCTGCCGGTGGAGAGAGCTTCAAACGGTCAGAACTTGGTTGAATCGACTAAGGTTCGTCGAGCACTCAATTCTTGTGATTGATTTGCACCGTGTTACCTCCCCTTGAACATGGCTTCTCTATGTTTTTGGGGAATTTGAATATCCTTATCTGATTTGATTGCCTTAGGTTGCATAATAGTTTAGGATTGATTAAATTAATTAGTTAGATTGATTGATTGCTATTAGATTCTCTGATTTCTTCTTTTGTTTCTCTGTTTTAGGATTTTTGAAATTCTTTTGTTCTGTCTTGGATATGAATGACTTTCACATAGGAAGAAAAAACTACAATGATTGATTCTTTCTCTGTGTTTGTTGATTGCAGTTACGCGTATTGAAACAACTAGCCACAACTTGGACATGTTTATGCATCTAGATGTTAACCCAGAGGTTTATCTGATGGTTGTTGGTGATAAGTTCACACTTGCTATGTTGCTGTTTATCTCCAGACTAAGAAAGGATCGTGAGAAGTATTGTTGCTGTTTATCTCCAGACTAAGGTAAGCACGGTCCTGATGGGAATTTATTAATTAAGGTTTTTAATGCTGATGAAGTTTTGGAAGGAGTTTTACGTGCAATTGCTGGTGAAACCGCATGGCTTTTATTTTGCTCCTCCTCTGTTGGCAATGGATTTGGTGATGAAGTGATTCCTGGTGAAACCTCCTGAGGCGGCGCTATCTTATCTTCTTGACCTGCAAAAAGACGTTGATTAGAGATGTCTAGGGATTTTATAGTTCTTGAGTTGAGCAGCTTTCATGAAAGTGATAATCCATAAGAACTTGATCACCAAAGAAAGTTAGACTCGAGGACTTAGTTGAGCTTTAGAGTTTATTGATATAGCTGCACATGTAATGTAAACAAGTACTCGATGGAAAAGAGCAGATAGAAGCAAGGGGCTTGTTCTTTAGCTGTTTCAAGTTTTGTGCTTGTTCTTTAGCTGTTTCATACTTAAATGATATTTAACTAAGGGACAACATAAAAGTTTCTACCAATAATCTGTATATTTTCTTGTGTTTCTTAACATTATCTCTTAATCAAAAAATAATAATAAAAAATGCTAAGAGACATAAAATTTGTCCCTGCAATAATGTTGCCCTTANTTCTTTAGCTGTTTCAAGTTTTGTGCTTGTTCTTTAGCTGTTTCATACTTAAATGATATTTAACTAAGGGACAACATAAAAGTTTCTACCAATAATCTGTATATTTTCTTGTGTTTCTTAACATTATCTCTTAATCAAAAAATAATAATAAAAAATGCTAAGAGACATAAAATTTGTCCCTGCAATAATGTTGCCCTTATAGGTGATTTTCTGCTTTAAAAAAAATAGGTATAAAATTTGATTTTTTGCGATACCATTGGTTCTAGAATCTCCAACAAGTCAATAACGAATTAGTTGAAAAAGATGTTGTCCTTTCAGGACACCAAAGACTGGATATTGTTTTAAAACAGTGTGTCTGAACACGGCTTCCGTAAAAGTCCTAATTCCAGAAATAAAGAGTCAAAAAATTTAGAGTTTCAGCCCCGAACCTGTTGGTTTGAAAAAAAAAAGAGAGAAATTGGGGTGCACCTCTCTGGTGACCGGCAGCTTGTTGTTGGCATTGTGAGAGGTGGTTCAGTTTGTAAATTTTTCTCTGATTTTTTTGCTATGTTTCTTTTGGTGGTTGTCAATTTATATTTGGGTTGGTTCGAGTTGAAACTAGTTCTTGTTTCTTGGTGTTTTTCTACTATATGTACTTCACAGTTGTTGGTTTATTTGTTTAATTTGGTCTTCGTTTTTAGTTCGTTTGGCAATAAGTTCTTTGTTGTGGACGGTTCTGCATTGCTTGCTATGTGTTGTATCGGATTCAGGGTTGGTTTTTTAGTTAAACAATGGATTCAGTCCTCAAGTCTTCTTTAAAGTGAGTAGTCTTTGGTTTACAGGTCGATGATAGTAAGTGTCTGTGTGTAAGAGCTCTGAATCTTCTTTGGCGTTTTCTCGAGTTTTGTTTCAAGGTCCTATCCTTGAACCTTGTCCTTTAGAGAGCTTTGCTCTGGTGAAGTTTCAGTTTTTTGGTGGTGTTTCAAGTTGTTGTTGGTTTGATCTTTGTGCTCGTTCCTGACTTTGTTGTATCTGATTTGGTTCGAACAGTCTTTCTTAGTGCACAAGGTTGAGGTTTGGTGTTCTGGTTAGTATGGTGTTTGGTGTTGTAGTGGCCTCAAATACTATACCCAAAATAAAGCCATTACTGGTGTTGTAGTATTTGAGGATTTCTCTATAGTTTACCTACTAATGTATGTTGTTATGAACTCTTTCGTATTTTCAGTAAAACCAGATGGCAAAAAAAGTGGTAGCAAATGGGATTAATGATCTATTTATAAAACGAGGGTATGTATACCCAATATGTCGTTTGCTGTCTTTTGAGCTGACCCTCTTATTGAATCTTAAGTGGAGATTGGTTGTTAATTAACTGTCAATTAACGCTTAATATCAAAATATTAAGTGATAAAAGTGGCTCCACGCATGAACGGCGGACACCATGACATGTCTTAGGTAAGATCTTAGCTAGTTTCATACATGCGGCCAGATCGGGGTGAACGGTCTCTATATCATACTTGTTCATACTTTTTCAGTTTGCCTCTGTTTTTTTGCAATAATGAAGTAAACTAGGCTAAAGTCTAAATTTTGATACGTTTTGAATAGTCAGTAATCCCTGTAAACTTCAAGTCAAACTCTATATTCTATTTATGTCTTACAAACCTAAACTACAGATTTTTAAAACTAGTTCTTAAATCCTAATCAATAAAATTTTAATGTCATAAACCTCCTAAACAAAAGTTTTGATTTAATACGTAAGAGGGCAGAGCAAAGAAGAAGTGAAATGACATTTTACATTTTGTTCAACTTCTTTAGGGTAGTGGATGCCATTAGGTCCTTTGGGGTTTGGGAAGCCAAATTTAGAGAGTTAAAATCATTAAAATGTTCCCTTGATTGTTTAGTGGATGCTATTTGCTTCCATTTTTATAATTAGCTTTATATTAAGGGGCTCTTATACAAATTATAATAATTTTAATTAAGCCTTCTGAGATTAACTGCCCAGCATTTATATATCAAAACAGTCACATGGATATACCAACTCCTTCAACCCGAATAAATACGATCGTGGATCAAGTTGTGCACGCAGCTTTCATGTATAAAGTTGCTTACACTTATTACGTTTTATATAGAGTGTCTTAATGAAAGACTGCTTAATGATTTCGATAAAACTAAGAACACCAACTAAATACGACGATTTTATATTCATAATCTTTTGAAAGGTAAAAGATATGGTAAACTATAATGACCGTGTATGTAGATCGCTTGTTTTGACAGCTGATATGTGAATTATATCAAGCTTATACCCAAAAGCTGTCACGGGAACATCACTCAGTACAAAATATCAGGTTACAAATTTATGTAGGCATGCATCACTCACGATATATAATTATATACAAACACTTTACATATTTTGGATAAACAGATTTGAAAGCAGAACGCATACACACGCTATAGTAGCAACAACCGGATGATGTACTAGTGATAACTAATGAGAATACATAGAACGTTGATTAACAAAAATAAGCTATATTCCCAGTATGGAAGATAAGAAAAAAGATAGGAGTAAAGGCATGTTTAGATATAAATTATATGAGAAAGACAGCTTCAAAATTGTAAATGGTCGAAAGATTTGTCTCTATTACATAATTGCGTTTTAAAAAAATAAGTAAGGAATTAGCCACAACCACAACTCCATACAGCCCTAAATATAGAGACACGTCTGCTAGAAGTTTAATGTGTGTGTTGTTGTCTTCTCTAAAAATCCATACACTTTGTGTTTGACACTCCCATCTATCCACCTAACCCTCCTTTTCCCTCTTTAAATTTCATGAATATCTCTTTCCCTTTCTACATAATGTAACTACAATGTTGACACATTTTATCAATCAAATGCATAAATAAACGAAATTAGGTAATCTCCTTTTGATTAGTTCAATTATTTGAGAAAAAAATCACACACATGCATCGACCGATCATATCCTACCCTACCCTACCCACATATGAACAGTCTAAATAAACCACATATGCCAATTTTTAAGATACTATGGTCCACTGGAGGAAGACGATAAGCCTGACTTTTACACTCCACGAGTATTATTAATTTTCTTTCCCTACTCTGTGTGGATATTAGATGACCAACGAGGTCCATAAATTTTCTTTCCAAACTCTTGTGTTTGATATCGATTTTATGGCATCTCTAATAAGTACACTATCTTTTTCCTATATAATCTACATTAAAATAAAACAATTTTATTATAATGTAAATTTTGTTCCAATAATTTATCTATAATAGAGTTATTCTATAATAGAGTAAAAAATAAAAAAATATCACTAATATAGAATAAAATAATGGTATTATTTTATATTTCACTTTATAATAAAATAATTACATTATACAATAAATAATTGAAATAAATGTACATTATAATAAAATTATTTTATTTTAATGTAAATTATAGAAAAAAATAGTATACCATTGAAATTGGTTTAGTCTTAGTGATCACTGGGTTGATCCAGCTGACTTGCTGGTCCAGATAGACCAAATTGAGAGATGGCATTACATAACGATGTAAACTTTTTCCATACAAAATTTAATGGTCCATAGGACGATTGCCAAATCATTTCGACGTAGGAAATTAACTGCTAATGAATTCTAAAGATTTACTATCCCACAAAAAAAATATTTGAAGTATGAAAAAATTCCTAAAACAAACATAACTACAGTAAGCTCTCTAGTCCTGCTTTAGTCAACTTCACTAACTTTGCTGAACACAGTATAAAGTGAAAGCTATAGTTAACAAGTTACTAACTCAATTGATTACTTTTAGATCATGTAACTACAAGCATCGAAATAACCAACTGGCTAATATGGTGTTTAGTGAATATTCGTTGGTTTAGAATTAAATTTAACAGCGTAAATTAACAGAAGCTTTACAGACAAATACATCTTGTTAGAAAAGTGAAGCTAGAACAGAACATAGGCTTTCCCTCATATGCTCAATCTAAAGAGCGAAAGTGAGATTCTCATTACACATCCGAAATAAGAAAAATAACGTAAACGTCAAAATTAAGAAACACTAAAAGCTTTTATCCAAAAAAAAGAATCACTGAAAGCTCAAGAGTTCATCAAAATCAAAATTTCTATTTATAATTAGATACTATTATACAAAGCTCTGAATCCAGATGAAGTTTCCTTCAACTAAAACAAGTTAAAAGAAAAAGAGAGACAAAATCAAAGGGAAAATGAAAAGTCTCGGCCGTCACAATATCCTACTAGTAGCTCCGGTGAAAGCACAACACTGAGATCTGAAAGAAGTCCGTTGCTGGTGGGGGCAAATCAGAAGTCAACGAGATGAGAAGAGAAGTCTGGAATAGGCGAAGATCTAGGAGGACAACGCAGAGAGAAACCACCAATACGTACAACATCTCTGTCTCCTTGCCGTCTAGGAAGAATCCCAGCGGTGAGTTTAGCAAGAGCCGCCGTGTACTCAAGCAATAGCTCAGTGATGATAACAACAGAAATCATGTTCAGAAAAAAAAGATAAATGGAAAATAGTTCTTCTTCTCAAAGGATTCTCCGGAAAAAATCTAGAAGTTTCTCTGCCTTTTAAAATGTCTTATCTCTTTAGGAAATGGTATTGGGATTGAGAGACACACCATGTAATATAAAGTCTCTCCCCCTTTATATAGGCCATAAAATCATAAAGCTCCAAGTGGGGGTTTTTTTTTTTGCAGCCTCCAAGTGGTTGTAGATACTCGTACACGTATATCACTTTCCTAATTTATTTTATTATGCTTTTTATAGTAACTTGCCGCGCGTCACGCGGTGTAGACAATACTCTCTACGTGCCCAATAAAATACTCGGTTTTAGGATATTGCGCTGATTTCTAAAAATTTGTTTAAATCTGTTTAGTGAAAATATTATAATTCAAATAATTTGGCGTAAATACAAAGTTTCAAACGGTTAGTAAATATGTTTACTGAAACTAAATCAGCTGTACGAAACATTTTCTATTGAAGAGTGGTGGATCGGTTCGACATTTTATTTGATATCTATTATTTTAATATTTTGTTTAATCGGCATTTTATTTGACATCTATCATTTTAGTGTTTTGTCTGATGTAATTTTCTTTTCATATGTATTTCGGGTAAGTAATGGGATGACTGGTTCTATGGCTAAATCAGTTCTCTCATTGCTAAGCTCTTCCGATCATGAAATGTAAAATTTTTTCTAGTTATGAAATGAATGTGTGTTTGCTAAAAAAAAGTCTAACTCGATTATTTTCAGGTCTATTTATGACGTTTGCTGCGTTAGTTTAGCTGAGTGGAACTATATGTAGATGGTATGCGTATGACCAAGATGCATGTGCAAGTTTACTGATGAACTTTAAATGGTTGTATATTATATAAGTGATTTATACAGATTGGCTTAAAATAAAATGATTGTATACTACTATTGTGGTAATGCATCGACAAAGATAATACAACGCCACAAATCAAAGTAGACTTGGACTAATAGAAATCAAAAACTATATTATTTAATTAGATACGGTTTACAAATCTCTCATCTATTATTGATATCGAAAAGCGTAATAAAAAAAAGATTCATTCTCTGTCACTCAACTACTCGATTAAAAAGAATAGCAGAAAATGGACACTCATCATATATCAGAACTCAGAAGTCGACAAGATGCGCAGAGAAGTCTGGAACAGGCGACGATCTAGGAGGACAATATACAGAGAAGTTGCCTATCCGTATAAAGTTTCCGTCGCCTTGTCGCCTAGGAAGAATCTCAGCGGTGAGTTTAGCGAGAGCTGTCGTGTACTCAATCAGTAGCTCAGCCATGATTACGATGGAGATCATGATATCGATGATAATTGAATATTAGTAGGAGAAGACTGGTCTAGAATTTTCTTGAGTTATTTTTCGAGAGCTTCGATTTGAATTTGGTTGTTATGACTTATGAGAAAGAGAGAAGTCTATCACTTTATATAAGAAGCCAGATTTTTCCAGTGTTCGAATATTTTCGGTTGTGGTCAAATACTAAACAGTAATAACACGAAGCGCGTCGTACGCGCAGTTCACATTAGCATGCCATTAGCTGTTTCTCAGATTATCCACGACTATCATGTGTTTTGTTTACTACAGTTTATAGCTCAGCAGATAACATCACTTTTTATCCTTCTCAAAGTTCACTTATCACTCAACAGGTACATCATTTTTAGGAAAACTACACTTATCATCGTAACTCGAATTCCTTATGAATGTTTATCAAAAGTGTCTAGTTTACTTTATTATCTTCAGTTACATTTCTTTTTATTTTTCTATCTGATACTTTTTCTGTTCCAGATAGATTTATAGAAATAAAGTTTTATGTCAAACCAAAACCCTAAAATTTTAAGGAAAACGAAACCGACAAAAATTCTAAAAAAATGTGTTTTATTTTTACGTGCGACCATTAAAATTACTAATCATGCTTTATAATAGTTTCTAAAGCTACGATAAAATGGATATAAAAAACCTAAATCTCCAGAACAACATTTGTTTAACTGTAGAAAATTTAATTGTAGTAATACATTTTAAATCTAAATCTTATACGGTTAAACCAGTAAATCTTGCGGACTAAACTATTCATACAATTTTCCAACGTTATAACCCAACCGATCATCAACAAAGAATAGAAAACAAAATCACTCACATGGAGAAAACCAACTAATTTTACTACTATAATCTGGAAACGATTGATACATATTCTAGATTCATCTCCAATGCTTTATTTTTAATTTTTTAAATAACTTTAATCATTATAAATGCTTTGACATTTGATGTATATATGTACTATATTTTTACATTATCCATTTCTGTTGAAACGGGGCGGACAAAATTTTAAATGTATCTATTGCTATTGTCAAAACAATTTTGTCATGCTTTTGATTTAGTATGGTTTTTGTTGAGAAATGAAGATGGTGGTTGGGACATATCCGGAAATGGACCAGACCACATCAGTCTACTTCAGTCCCAAGCTTAGGCGGCCAGCAGCTTGTCATTATCCACACATCCAGCTCCTTGTATTTATCCATATGTTGTAGTTATCCTAATCATTATAGGATTAGGATAATCATCCCCTTTATTGTTGTAATCCTTA